TGAACGTATGGTGCGTTGGAGTTTCCCCCGGGAGGTGGTGTGAGGAGAAGGGGTGTCCCTTCCCCTGTGCTGTCCGGGAACCCATCGTGAGGGACCGTGAGGGGTCCTGAGAACTTGGGGTTCTCTGAGGTGACCTGAGAGTTTGGGGTGCTCTGAGGTGTCCTGAGAGGTGGGCATGCCCTATGAAGTGACCTGAGAGATCAGGGATGCTCCAAGAGGTGGTCTGAGAGTTTGGGATGCACCATGAGGTGACCTGAGAGGTGGGAATGCTCCATGAGGTGACTCTGGCATGCTCTACGAGGCGATCTGAAAGTCTGGGATGCTCTGAGGTGTCCTGAGAAGTGGGAAATGCTCTATGAAGTGACCTGAGAGGTGGGAATGCTGCAAGAGGTGACTTTGGGATGCTCCGTGAGGTGATCTTAGATTTTGGGATGCTCCACGAGGTGACCTGAGCGATTCGGGGTACTCTGAGGTGTCCTGAGAGTTTGGGAATTGCTCTATGAGGTGATCTGAAAGTTTGGGGTGCTTTGAGAGGTCCTGAGAGTTTGGGATGCTCTGAGATGTCCTGAGAAGTGGGAATGCTCCAAGAGGTGATCTGAGAGTTTGGGGGTGCTCTGAGATGTCCTGAGAGGTGGGAATGCTCCAAGAGGTGACTTTTGGATGTTCCACGAGGTGATCTGAGAGTTTGAGATGCTCTGTGAGGTGATCTGAAAGTTTGGGATGCTCTGAGATGACCTGAGAGTTGGGAATGCTCCATGAGGTGACTTTGTGATGCTCCACAAGGTGACCTGAGAGTTTGGGGTGCTCTGGGTGACCCCGGTGCTCGGAACACTCCTGTGCCGGCTCCCAGCCCCGCTGTGCTCCCAGGGCACACAAAGCCACTTGTGGGAGCCAGCAGGAAAACAGGAACACAGAAAATCCAGGGATTTTATAGGAGTGCAGGAACACAGAAAACACAGCCCTGAGCTTTCCTGCTGGGCCTTTCCCTGCTGTGCAGAAATTCAGGAAAAGAGGAGCTCGACTGGGTGAATTCACCTGAAAGAAACATCCCTGGAGGAGCAAGGAGCCTGCAGGGAGGGCTCTGGGGCTGCCATGGTCAGTGGGCAGATTGGATGAAAGTTTGACAAGAAAGTCTCACACATATGTGTGCTTAGCAGAAAGATTTTTGAATGTAGAGTCTGATGAAGGAATAGAGTTGGAAGCAAGTTTGATATAGAAGAAAAGAATTGCTGAGCCAGTCTTACTGGATAACCAAGGAGGCAAAGGGTGTGTTAGTTAGAAGGGGTTTTTATGGCTTACAGCAAGGGATAAACCCATCTCAAACAGGAAGATGTTTTTACCAAGCAGAAAGAGAGCACAGGCAAACAAGTCAGCAAAGTTGCAAGTAGAAAAAAGGTCTCAGAATTTTCTTCTGCAAGAAAACTGAAAAACAACTTCTAGCTTAAACTGTAATGTACTGACTTTTAGTGATTGGAGAACAGTAACATGAATATGGTAATTATAGGAGTTTGATAGGCTATGGGTAAAAGTTAAGGTATAGATTGGTTCTAATGTATTGAGATGCTCAGCAAAGTATGTAATGCATTGTAACCAAAAGAAAAGTATATAATGCAATGTAACCAAAGAAAAGTCTATAATGCATTGGTAACCAAACCCAAAGGGTCTCAAGGCCTGCCTGCAGCTGGAGCTGACAGCTGTGGGCACAGGCTCTGTCACCCACAACCCTGGGCTGCTGTAACATCTTAGATACAATAAACTGCATTTTGAAGAGCTGCCTCAAACAAGAAAATGTTTTTACCAAGCAGAAAGAGAGCACAGGCAAACAAGTCAGCAAAGTTGCAAGGAGAAGAAGAGTGGGGTGCCTGTCTGCACTGGTGACAGTCACTCATCACCCCAACAGAGGCTGAAATTGCTTTTCCTCTTGTTTTCTGCTCTCCAGCATCAGGAGGGCATAGGGCACTGCCCAGCACCTGAGGTCAGTGACAAAACCTTCAGTGCTCAGGAAGTTTTTATCAGCACCTCTCCTCAAAACTGAATTTTATCTAAGAGGAAGAAGTGTGAGTCGCTCAGCTTTTGTTTCCTCACTTAGTGACTCTTGAAAGGAACAGAAAGTCCCAGGTTTCGGTTTTGGTGGTGATGTGGCAGTCGCCTGGAGCTGCTCTGGACAGGAGCAGAGCGGATGTGGTGCCCGAACCGCTTAAAAGAGATCCGACACAGGAAACCGAGGGGGGCCGCGCTGGAAAATGTCAAGCGGCTGATAACGCGCTCGGTAATTTGAATTTGAATTGGTGTTGTTGGAGCTCTGTGTGTGTTTTAGGTAAAGGTGTGTCCAAAGTTGGAAACTCCATTCCTGCCCTCTTCACTGTCATGAGTTTGCACTTTACTCAAACCTTTATTTTGGTTTGTCAGTGAAGTGGTTCCAAAGAAACACTCCATTCCCAGTTCTTCTGGGTCAGGTGCTCCCTCAAAGCAAAAGGCGTTTTTATTTAAATGGTTTAAGATGTCAGACAGGCGTAATTAAAAGGGAGGTTTCTTCCCGCAGGTTTTTTGTTTGGGAGTGTGTCCTCGGTGTTCCTGAACACTGTGGTACATCACGGGTGTGCTGATTCCTCAGGAAACAATGTGGGGTGGGAACATTTGGTATCCAGGAGTTAAACCTGACTCTGGTGAACCGTTGAATGGTTTGGCTTGGAAAGGACCTTAAAGATCCTAACCCTGGAACTTGTGTGTTTAACATTGCTGTGTTTGTAACCCAGCATTAGGGAGGGAAGGGCTGAGCAAAGCTAGGGAGAGTCTGAATACATTGGGAAATATTTCTTCTAACCGGAATTTTTTTGATAAAATGCATGTCTGGTTTGGGGACCTGCACGGATTGCACTTCAGCTCAGTGTGAGTGCACCCCGGGTTGGGCACAGTGAGAGCAGAGCTCAGGGTGGGCTCTACTGGAAGAGCTCTTCCCTTTTGGGTGCCTGAAGGTGAGGCAGAAAGCCTTCCATGGAAATGGAACAGAGAGGGATGAAACACCTCTGCTGTGAGGGAAGGAGGAGAGAACTGGGGTTGTTCAAGCTTTGGGTGAAATTGTGGCAGGACCTGAAGGGAGCCTGAAAGAAAATGAGAAGGAGAGAGACTGAAAAGGCTGGAGTGCCAGGGCACAGGGAATGGCTTTCACTGCCAGAGGACAAGGATAGATCAGGTATTAATAGGAAGCACTTCCCTGTGAGGGTGGGCAGGCCCTGGCACAGGGTGCCCAGAGCAGCTGGGGCTGCCCCTGGATCCCTGGCAGTGCCCAAGGCCAGGCTGGATGGGCTTGGAGCAGCCTGGGACAGTGGAAGGTGTCCCTGCCATGGCAGGGGTGGCACTGGATGGGCTTTGAGGTCCCTTCCCACCCAAACCACTCTGGGATGCCACAATTCCCTGGCACCTCACCCTTTCCCTTGGAACTTCATTGCTGCACTAAGGCACAGTTGGTAAGAGAAACTCTGTAATTAGTAAAAAGCTTAATCAAAGCTTCCCTCAGGGGTGCCCTGAACCCCTCCTTTTGGGGGCGCTGGGAAGGAAAGTGGGAGCAGCATTGTGAAAGGGGTCAGGAGTGATGGCAGCTGCTGCCTTCTGTCCCTGCTGGGCTCCTCTTGGGTTGTCCTTGGGCAAGAGAGGCCGTGGGGACAGCTCGGGGGAGCGAGAGAGGGCATGGGGACAGCTAGGGGGGCACCCCGGGTGGGTTTGGGCTGGGCCGGGCAGGGGGAGCAGCTCCGGGTCGGGAAAGCAGCAGCTCCAGGCAAAGGTTGTTTGCTGCCCAGCCGGGGGCGGGCAAGGGGAATGAGCTCCCGGCCGGGCAGGGGAACCGATTCCGGTTTGGGCCGAGGAGCAGCTCTGGGCAGGGGAATGAGCTCCGGGCTGGTCAGGCGAGCCAATTCTGGGCCGGGCAGGGGAACAGCTCCGGGCAGGGCATGGGGAACCAGCTCTGGGTAGGGCAGGAGAGCAGCTCCAGGCTGGGGAATGAGCTCCAGGCTGGCAAGGGGGAACAGCTCTGACCCGGGCAGGGGAGCAGCTCCGGGCCGGCAAAGGAGCAGCTCCAGGCAGGGGCAGCAGCTCCGGGCTGGGGAACCAGGTCCGGGCAAGGGAAGGGAACAGCTCTGGGCTGGGGAACGAGCTCGGGGCCGGGCAGGGAACAGCTCCGGGCAGGTCTGCGTGGCTGCTCCGAGCACGGGGCTGCAGCTCTTCCCCCGCTGCCCATGAACCCCTCTGGTGCTCCAGCCCACGATGGGTACACGGCAGCGCCTGCCGCTTATCCGTGCGCTCCAGAGCTGGGGTTTTTTACCGACATCCCCCTCTCGCTGCTCGTGAATTAAACTATTTCTGGCGTGGTGACTCGCAGGCTGTAGCAGAGCGTGGCGTGAGCGGCAACGTGTCCTTGTGCAGATGAGTAAGCGGAAAGGGGGACGTCCCTGAGCCTTCCCCCTCCCGCTAAAGGCAGGAGGCTGCAGCGTGCTCGCTCGCATTTATGACATAAAAAGACTTTTTTTTTTTATAAAAAAAGACTTTCCTGTTCCTCGTGGAGGCGAACATGCCCCTCGCATCACACGGTTTAAACGCGTCTGTCTAAAGCAGGTACAAAATAGCAGCCTAAAATCCACTTCTTAGAGAGATCAAGGATAATGAGATTCGCCTCCAATCAGCTTGAAATCCCTTGAAACAATTAAAGCTCAGCCTTGGCGACTCATAAGCACCGAAGGCTTTTGATGAGTGTGAACCTTAAATAAAATCAGCGTTTAGGAAAACGATGAAATCTTCCAGGACAAAGTGCTGAAAAAAAAAAAAAAAGGAAGGAAAAAAGAAAAATACAGTTGGAAAAGGTTATTTTGATGGGAACAAGGTGAATGTGAGGTGCACCCCCAGAGGAACCGAAATCCCCGGTGTGCCGGGCGGGTGTGGGGCCAGAGCCTCCTTAAGAGGCGGCGGTGTGGGGTGACGAGCCGCTTCCAATTGCGAGGCAGCAGCACATGACATAAGATGCTCCAGATCTGCCTCCTGGGCGCTAGTTTAAAAATAAAGGATATTACACCTCGGTGAGGGGAGGCTGCGGGACCGGCGATGCGCGGTGAGGCTGCGGGGATCGGGGTTTTGGGACAGCATTTAGGGCAAAAGAGTGTGGAATTTAAATGGTTGGGCTCGTGGTGCTCTAGGGGAGCTGTGGGTGTCTGGTGCTGCCGCGGGGTTTTGCAATGCCCGCTGTTTTTCCTGTTGCCCACTGAATTTCCTGTTGTTTGGTGCAAATGCAGCCTCTTTGGGGTTGCCTGGCTCACGTCAGCGGAGCTGCTTTGCTGTGACGTGGGGCTGTATTTTTATTTTTAATTTTTCCAACGTGTTTTCTCTTGCAGGGACAGTGCTGTGTGAGTCAGACGCCAGGATGGCACTTGCAGAACCAGTCTCCTCCGTGGCTTATTGCAATTCAGCTCTTCAAGGCAGCTGCGAGGTGGCAGGGGAAGATGTGCTGCTCAACTCTTCACCCAGGTTGGTCTAATTTAGGATTTTATTTGGGATTTATTTGCCTGTTTAGCATTTTATTTACCCTGTTTATATAGAATTGTATTCTACCATGCTTACTTTGATTAATTAAAATGATTTTGGAAGAGCCCTGCCTCTGCAGGGAACATCATGTGCAGTCCCTACACTGATCTCAAACTCCTGCTGGTAAGAGGCTGCTTGGATTTACAGACTAAAGAGCAGATTAGGGTCTGTATCTCACCACAGCATAATGAGATCTAGCTGATTAAAACCTCTTTACCTAAATTTTTTGGGGTTGCATTGAGTTACATGTTGTAAGGGGGAAAAAAAGATGACTTGATTGACTGTAAGGGAAATAGCTGGGGCTTTTCTGCTCATATTACTGGGTCATTTGCATGCTTTGATCATAAAAGCTGGTGGAGAAATGGTGCAGAACTATTGCAACTGAGGATTCATTTGTGCTGAAAAATGTTCTCAGTAATGAGGAGGGAGCACGGAGATGGGAACATCTCATAATCCCCTAGGGGGAAATAAAGGAATTATTTACTCAGCCCTGGTTGCTGGCCTGCAGATTAGTTCAGAGGAGCAGTTCTGCTTTAGAGCAGGACATGTGATCAGCCATGTCACATCTTCCCTGGGCCTTGAACCTCCTCATACCCCCAAAGCAGTCAGAAATTCAGAATAAATGTAGATTAGAGGGAAGAGATTTCTCCTTACCCTGACATTCACACAGTGCCTGTGCTGGTTGCCTTGTCTCTGACCTGGTAGAAAGGAATTAAAGATGGGATTTGGTGGGAGCCCTGCCTGGCTGGGGCTGAGGGGTTTGTGTGTGCCCAGAGGAGCTCTCAGCTGTGAGCAGTGTGACTGTGATGGGCAGAGTCAGGGCTCCTCTGTGCCCCAGAGCTGCCCTGCAGTGTTTGGGGTTATTGTGATGTCAGGGCCCTCCTGGAAGAGCCTGGGCTGGGTGCTGCAGGTGCTGCTGTTGAGAAGGGAAAACACCGGCCTGGAGGAACAACAATGAGTGATGGGCTGAGGCAAAGGGCCTGGTAGGGCCAGGCAGGATGGAAACTTTGGGTCTCTGCAGTGAAATTTTACTCAGCTAAAGCTCAGACATCAATGGCCCAGGACAGGGAACAAAGCAGCAGCTGCCTGCTTGGAGGGTGGGATTCCCAAATCTCACTGGCTCTGGCTTCCAGCTCCTGCCCTAAAGTGAGACATGAGCTTTGATTGTCCCTGACCCTCCTCACTGGGGCTGTGACAGTCCAGCTTGGAAAGGGATGGGGTAAGAACAGTTTTGCAAGCAGGCAAGTGGTGCTTCACCAGCTGCTGCAGGGCTGAAAGTGAAAGGACAGCTCAGCTGGGGGGAGTGGCTGGAGCACATGGGCATGAGCCTGATTCTGTTTCTTCCCAAGCATCTGGTGGGAGCCCTGGTTTTAATAGGAATACCTAAGAGCAAGATTTGCTGTTGAATCAATTTCCTGCTCTTTTACAGGAAATCTCTGTGGGTTTCCCCATGGGGTGACTGCAGAGTGTCCCCAGGGCCTCCCCTGTGGTTGGACTCACATCTTGCAAACAGGAGATGAGTTCCAGACCCAAGTGTCCCTTCCTGCCCCCCTTCTCCTCCTCCTCCTCCCAGCTGCAGACTCTTTATTCCAGGCACCTGGAGCAGCCTTTAGGAATTAAATTATGGCTGTTTTTAGGATGATGTTTATGCATTCTTCTGCAGCTTGTCTGCAATGAAAGCTGCAATTAGGACAATGCTCATGTGTTCAAAACCAGCACAGGCAGAGCTTGCACACTCTGAGGGAGCTGTTCCATTGCTGGGGCCATGCAGGGCAGTGAATTAATAAAATCACCTGCAGAATATCAGAATATCAGGAATCACTCTGACATCTGAGTGACATTAGGGGATGGAGCCAACCTGGCTGTGGCAGGCAGCCCTCAGTGCTCTCATCCAGGGATAATTCCTTTTGCCTTGCAGAACTGCTGAGCCACACAACAGCCAGCCAGGGGAAGATTCCAAGATTGAGGACTATCAGGTGAACTCACTCGGTCCCAAAGGTGAGTGCATGGAAATTTGGGGGCTGTGGGGTGCCTGAAATTATTATTGCAATGAGAGAGGGATTTGTCAAACCATGACAATGGAAGAAGCAGCTCAGGTTGCAGGATGAGTTGTGCAGAAGTGTCTGAAACTCAGACTTTAAAGCACAAGGGTTAAATAGGCAGTACCAGTGCCTGGTGCTCATCTGCCAGGTACCAGTGTCCTGCTTTCAGTCCTCCTTAAAAGAAAAAAAATTATAAATAGCAGAGTATAACATGCAGGAAACTATCACCTTACCAGTACAAGAGCCTTAGGGCAGCAGAGCAGGTTAGAGGGGATATAAGTGGGAAATATTTAACAAAATTTGAAAGTCCTCTAGAGGCTTCTATCTAAAATACTGGGGCTCACATGGCAAAATTGCCACAAAGAAAGGGTCAAAAAAGGGGTGTGGGAGGGGGTGTAACAACATTTGCTTTCATATGCTTGAGACTTGTATTTGTATTGCTGTTATGGCAGCAGGAAATTTGTAAATCTAAAATGCTGAACTCTTTCCTTTCAAAGCAGCCCCCTCCTCTCCTGGCTCCAGCATGTGGACAACACGTCGTGATGGGGAGGTCAAGCTGAGGATGGAGGAGCAGGGCCCTGGCAGTGAGGCCCCAAAGACTGTGCACCAGCTCTTCCAGGAAAGTGTCAACAAATACAGCAACTTTTATGCCCTTTCATCCAAAAAAAATGGCAAGTGGGTAAAGCTGACGTATAAGATGTACTATGATGAGTGCTGGAAAGCAGCCAAAAGCTTTCTGAAGGTAAGGGTTTGTTGAGTTCTCTTTGGTATATTCACAGAGTCCTAAAACCAGCATGATTTGGGTTGGAAGGGATTTTAAAACCCATCCAGTGCCATCCCTGCCATGGCAGGGTCACCTCCCACTGTGCCAGGTGCTCCAAGCCCTGTCCAGCCTGGCCTTGGGCACTGCCAGGGATCCAGGGGCAGCCACAGCTGTGCCAGGGCCTGCCCACCCTGCCAGGGAACAATTCCTGCCCAGTATCTCGTGTAAATCTCTCTTAATTTAAAACTGTTCTCCCTCTTCCTACCACTGTGTCAAAACAAAACAAACAAAACACTATGTCAAAACAAAACAAAGTCAAGTTTAATGTTCACTCATTTTAGTGCTGGAATGGCTGCAGTCAATTCTGTCTTAAATCTGCAAATTCCCTGAGTGCAGATGAATCTCACAGTGACAGGGAAGTACCTGAACATGCTATGGACACCTATTTAGTTTTTTTGACAGTTGCTTCCACATTTAACCAAGTAAAAAAACATGTAAGGAAACATTTCAAGTGAGGTGTTTGAGGTTTATGGCAAACCTGGACACTGCATCTCCAGAGGCTTGGAAAGTTCATCTTTCTGAGAAAAAAAGGGATCTTAAAACCAGACTTAAATGTCCCACGTGGCCCAGCCTTTTGCTGGTGCTGCTGGGATTAGGAGACTTGGAGACAGAAACCAACAATACCTGTTTGTACTGTTGGGATCAAGTCTTACCTCCTCAAGTTAAGTCCAGTGTGGTTTTACTGCTGTGGTGGGATCTCCCACTCTGGTACAAAGCCAGAGTCTGGCTGAGGGAGTTAAAAACTGGGACTCCAAGAGCTGGAATTTCATAGCCAAGTATGACTGCCACTGTCTTGGGGTTTTGCTGCTCACAGTGACCCCAAGATGTGTTAGAAAATCTCTTTTCCCAGCCTGGCGGTCAAAGAGGAGTCAGAGCTCTTCAGTTCTTGCTCTCAAGGTTGTTGATTTTGCTTCTTATCTATAAAATTTTTTTCCTGTCCAGCTGAGGTCAGCCCAGCAAGGCAGAGGCACTCTGCCTGCCCCCAGGGCAGTGTTATCTTTTTATACTAAAAACTATGTGTACAATATTTACAATTACTTTCCAATACCTATCACCTATGTTAGACAGTGAGCTTCTACTCTAAACCAATCCAAAAGTGCCACCATCACAGCAGAAGATGGAGGCCAAGAAGAAGAAGGAGAAAGGCTGGACACACCCAGTTCCCTCCATCTTACCCCCCTGAACTGCCATTCTAAAAACCCCTAAAATATTTTTTCACCCTGTGATAAATTCACTATCATTCTGCCTAAACTGTTGTGGCTTGCTGATCTTCATCTAAAATTTGCTCCATGGGCCATAATCAAACCCACAGGTGTTTTGGGCTCTGTGCCAGGGTCTCTGAGCCCCCTGGCAGGGGTTTGGGCAGTCCAGGACAGCCAGAGGGATGTCCTGAATTCTGACACCACTGGAGCTTGTTGCTCTGGCCATTATTGATATTTGCCATTCTCAACTTGTCCCAAATGTCCCAGGAGGTGCTGTCTGACTTCACCTCTCACCTCCTCATTCCCAGCCCAAGGCAGGAACTCCCTGGAGTGCAGGCTGATATTCCTGTGAGTGAATTCCTGTTGGTGAGTCTGTCTTTCCAAGGGCAGAGCTCAGCAAATCTCCATTTTCCTGCCCACTTAGAGTGGGACAGAGCTGTGAAACTTTCACTGGGGGTGATTCAGTGTAAGAACATGAGCTGTTCCCTCAGTGCTGTGCTCACAGCAGAGAGCTCAGATGCTCCCTGAGCTTTGGCCAGAGGAGAAGCAGGATGCTGTAATGCCATCTCTTGTTTGCAGCTGGGGCTGGAGCGTTTCCATGGAGTGGGCATCCTGGGATTCAATTCTGCTGAGTGGTTCATTGCTGACATTGGAGCTATCCTTGCAGGGTAAGGCTCTTGTTTCTTGCCATGCATTTTGCTTTGGCAGGCAGGGAGTGACTGCAGCATTCACATGAGAAGCAGGTTTTGATTAAACCCCAGTAAAACAAACAAACAACACCCCAAATTCAATTGCTTATATTTGGATTTAATAAAGGTAGATAGAATCTGAACTGTTTAATAATGAATTAATGAGACAAAAATTAAATACTTTTTTTTTTTTTTTAGCCAGCTGCTTCTCTCAAAATAAGATGACCAGTAGGTTAATCCAAAAGCATTCTTATGTACACAGTGATTAAGGAAATGCCAGAGAATCCCATGGCTGGACTGTGATATCTGCCTTCCACATGAGATATTTTGCTCCCTTGCTCCACTCTTGACATTTCCCATGCCCCAGAACAGAATCTTTCCTCTTGGAATTAAGCTCTCCCCTTTTTGTTGTCATTTTATGAGATATTGTCCTTAAAATTTTTTCTCTGAAATTTGCCAGCAACTCTGCTTGTCCTCTAACTCTGTTTTGCTTTTCTGTTCTGTTTTTTCCCTTTTCCAGGGGATTTGCTGTTGGGATCTACACTACAAACTCTCCTGAGGCCTGTCATTATGTAGCAGAGAACTGCAGTGCCAACGTCATAGTGGTGGAAAACCATAAACAGCTGCAGAAAATCTTAGAAGTAATTAAGTTTTTTAAATGGCTGGGGATTACAGCAACCTGTTGACAGATGTGGGAGGGTGAAATGCTGTGGGAGGGGAAGTGCTGGGTCTGAGAGCAGAGGTGAATTCCTTGCTGTGCTCCCTGCTCCAGCCAGGTGAGCTGTCACTGGCACTGTGTCTCACAGAGGTTAAGTGGTGCTTTCACTTCTTAAAAACCTTGGGCTTAAAATTGGAGAAGCCAAAATGAACAACTGAGCATCCTCTAGGTTGCCTGGCACCCTCCCAGCTCAAATGATGACTGTTTCTAGTGAGGCAAACCCATTCTTTAGGAGCACAGATGGGATTCTCTTGGCTTTGCATAAAGTGGCAAATCTGAGGAGTGTGCTGAGAGGTTACAGAGGTCTGAAAGGCACAAGCAGCATTTGCTCCTTCTCACAAATTTCCCTTCTTAACACAGATTGAACACAGACTACCTCATCTGAAGGCCATTGTCCAGTATGGGGAGGAGATCAAAGAGCAGAGACCAAAACTGTACTCGGTGAGTCCTGGGTTTCTTCACAGCTGCTAAGGGCTGGTTGTGTTCAGCTGATGGCTGCAAGTACCTGTCACCTGCCCTGGGGCCTTGAACATCTGGTGACATCCCTGTCCATGGCAGGGCCTTGGAATGAGATGATCTTTAAGGTCCCTCCAAGCCAAACCAGCCTGGGGTTCCGTGGCTGTGATCCCTTGAGCTGTGTGGGCTTTGGTGGACAGGAGGTGTCTGCAGTTGTGCAACCTGGATAATCCATGTTGTAAGGGACTTTGCCAGACGCCTTGAGCCCCACAGTTACTCCAGGGAGTTGCTTCAGAGCTGTAAAGCTGCTGGGGTGGGTCTGGCTCCTTTCTGCTTCTCCCTGTGTCAGCCAGGAAACACTGTGGGGTGGCAGTGTGGGTGTACAGCCTCTTCCAGGGGTGTGGACAGGGAGAACATCCTTCTCTTGGTGTGTAGCAAAGAGTTGTTGGGAAGGATGAAAGTTTGACAAGAAAGTCTCACAGCAGAAAGATTTTTGGATGTAGAATCTGATGAAGGAATAGAGATGGAAGCAAGTTTTGATATAGAAGAAAAGAATTGCTGAGACAGTCTTACTGGATAACCAAGAAGCCAAAGCTTATGTTAGTTAGAAGGGGTTTTTATGACTTAGAGCAAAGGATAAACCCATCTCTAACAAGAAGATGTTTTTACCAAGCAGAAAGAGAGCACAGGCAAACAAGTCAGCAAAGTTGCAAGTAGAAAAAAGGTCTCAGAATTTTCCACTGCTAGAAAACTGAAAAACAACTTCTAGCTTAAACTGTAATGTACTGACTTTTAGTGATTGGAGAACAGTAACATGACTATGGTAATTCTAGTAGTTATAGATAATAGTTAAGGTATAGATTGGTTCTACTGTATTAAGATGCTCAGCAAAGAAAAGTATAGAATGCAATGTAACCAAAAGAAAAATATCTAATGCATTGTAACCTAAACTAAGGGTCTCCAGGGCTGCCTGCAGCTGGAGCTGACAGCTGTAGGCACAGGCTCTGTCACCCACCACCCTGGACTGCTGTAATGTCTCAGATACAATAAACTGCATTTTGGAGAGTGGCCTGGAGTCCCACATCTCTGATAAGGCTGTTATGGTGGCGCCCAACGTGGGGCACCATCAGTAAGAGGGATTGGTAAGAGCCTGAATGAGGGATGTGGGTCTTCAGGCCTGCCTGGGGCTGGAGCTGACAGCTGTGGGCACAGGCTCTGTCACCCACCACCCTGGAGCGCTGTAACTCTTGGGTACAATAAACTGCAGTTTGAAGAGCCACCTAGAGTCCCACATCCCTCATTTAGGCTCTAACAAAGAGTTCCATTGTTCCTGTGGGTGATGCCTCACAAAGGGGCTGAGCTGTTGTGTTCCCTGCAGTGGAAGCAGTTCATGGAGCTGGGCAGGGACGTGCCGGACGAGCAGCTCCACGAGGTCATCGCCACCCAGAAACCCAACCAGTGCTGCACCCTCATCTACACCTCGGGCACCACGGGGCAGCCCAAGGGGGTCATGCTCAGCCACGACAACGTGAGTGCCCAGTGCCACCCCAGGGCTGCTCAGGGAGAGCATCCTGAGCTGGGAGGGACCCCCAGGTGTTGTGTTTGTGGGGTTCGCAGAGGGAGGGAATGATGCATGTGACTCTGTGTTCTTAGAAGAATTATAATTTATTACTTTATTTCATTAATTATTTTATATATTAATAGAAATAATTTAGGATTAAGATTTAATAATATTATTAATTAATATCTATATTAGTCTTATACAATTTATATATTATATATATTTATATATATCCTATACATTATATAATTATATAATATATATAAATATATATACTATAATTTTATATATATATAATTATATAATATATATAAAATTATAGTATATATATTATTTAATATATATTTATCATTTATATATGTATATAAATTTATACATAATTTTTATAAATTATTTATTAGAATAATTTTACTTATATATTTATTCTTCATAAATATTTATATTTTTATATATATAATATTCTATTAATAATATTACTAGTTAATGATAGTATTATTATATTAGTTTTATTTATTATTTTATGATGCTATATTATATTAAAGAATGCTATACTAAACTATACTAAAGAATACAGAAAGGATACAGACAGAAGGCTAGAAAGATAGTAAAGAAAAACTCATGACTCTTAGCTTGGCACTGATTGGCCATTAAGTCAAAACTTAAGCAATTCATATGAAACCAATGAAACAATCACCTGTTGGTAAACAATGTCCAAACATATTCCAAAGCAGCAAAACACAGGAGAAGCAAATCAGATAATTATTGTTTTCATTTTTCTTTGAGGCTTCTAAGCTTCCCAGGAGAAAATCCTGGGCAAAGAGATTTTTCAGAAAATGTGACAGTGACCCACAGGGACCATCAGTGCCACCCTGTCCTGCAGAGCCACCCCAAGAACCCCACCCTGAGCACCCCTGGGAGCTCCTGCAGCTCTGGCAGCCTTGGCACCATTGCCTGGGCAGCCTGGGCAGTGCCCAGCAGCCTCGGGGGGCAGAACCTTGCCCTGAGCTCCATGCCAAGGCCTGGCACAGCTGCAGCCCTTGCTGGGCTCCTGTCCCTGTGCCAGAGCAGAGCTCAGCCCCTGCCCCTGTGCCTGCCCTGGGGAGGAGCTGCAGCCCCCGAGGAGCCTCCCCTCAGTCTCTGCTGCAGCTGAACCAGCCAAGTGCTGCTGCTGAGATCCCAGGATGCTGTAGCTGAGCTGTGCTGTGTGTGTCCCTCTCTGAAGCCCCTGTGGTTCCTGTTGCAGCTGACGTGGACGGGGACGGTGGCCGCGCGCTTCATCATGCTGAAAGACGCCCGGGAGAAGCAGGAGGAGGTGGTCAGCTACCTGCCCCTGAGCCACATTGCTGCACAGATGTGTGACATTTGGGCAGCCATGACCCTCGGAGTGCAAGTTTACTTTGCCCAACCAGATGCATTGAAGGTAAAAAAAAATAAGATAATAAACTTACACTCATCCACCTGCTTGAGCTGGGGTGGGTGCTGTCACCAGCCAGGGTCTGTGTGCAAATCACAAATGAGGTGGGGCTGCTGTAGAACATGCCTTGAGCTGTTTTATTTTTCAGCATCAGTCTCATTACATGGTTATGACAATGGGAAGATGCCAGCAGCAGACCAAGAACTTAATGTTACAACTCACTTTATAAGTTTTTTGACTAATCACACAAAGCAAAAGCACATTGACAGTATTTATATCTGTATAGTATATATTCTATATTGACAGTAGTTCCATCCAACCACTGTAAGCCCACGTGCCTTTGGTTAAACAATGCTTGCTTGTTTCAATTACAATACCTCTTTGTAAGCCTTAAAACACAATGCACAGAGCTCCATTATGAAGCTTCAAACTTCCTAATATCTTGCTAGATAAACTTTTCTGTAGCTTAGAGAGTTATTCTAGACAAGTGTTAATACACAGGCCATTGTTCTATTTGCCCTTGCTTTTCTACAGTTTAAATAATTTTTCTGCTGACCTATCTCATGGCTGCTGCTTAGCTCTAATCACAGTTCTCCTGTCTCTGAGGCCTGCCTTTTGCAGCTTTCCCAAAACCCTCTGATTTTGTGGATTCCCACAGGTGCTTGAAATAAGGCTGTGTTATCTTGTGGCTCTCTCAGCTTTCCTAACTGGGTTTACTTTGCCCACTGACCAGCTGCCCCTGTTGGTTTGACTGAAACCTGAGCTTTTGACTCAGTGACAAACTGGGAGAAGCTGACCCAGCACTTCACAACTGGGATCTGCTGAGTTCTTACCTGACACCTGATGCCACATCAAGAACTGGTTGAGCAACAGCCTCGTGTTTGCTCTGCCCACATTGCACCATGGCCCCAGCTAAACCCGAGTCCTGAGTAAAGGATTCTTGTGTCACTGAAAGCATTGACCCTTGCTCCCTTCACAATTCTCACTGGAATGCCTCAGGGGTTCCCTTCTCTTGGTGGTGCTGCAAAAAACAAACAATTCCTCAAAACTCATGGCAGACTCCCAAGTTTTTGCTAGTGACCAGTACTGACCTGAAGTCTGCAGTGAATCCCTTCTAAAAACTGCATTAAATCCTGCTTCTCTCAGGGCAGCTTGGTGGAGACCCTGCGAGAAGTGAGGCCAACTGCTTTTCTGGGAGTTCCTCGTGTCTGGGAGAAAATGGAAGAGAAAATGAAATCTGTGGGCATGAAAGCCTCAGCGATCCGACGGAAAGTGGCAGCATGGGCCAAGGGAGTGGGGCTGCAGACCAACCTCAAGAAGATGGATGGGTAATTATGAGCTACACCTCAGGGATGCTGATGAGTTTTTAGGAGAACTTTCCTGTCAGATCAGGGATTTTATTCCATCCAGGGGTTATATTCCATATATTCCAGGATTTTATCTCGTGTGACAGACTGCAGTGGCGTTCACAGGGGTCCCAGAGCGAGGGAAGAGATGAGAATCTTGACTCCATGTTTCAGAAGGCTGATTTATTATTTTATGATATATATTATATTAAAAGAAAATGATATATTAAAACTATACTAAAAGAATAGAAGAAAAGGATTTCATCAGAAGGCATGAAAGGAATAGAAAGGAATGATAATAAAATTTTGTGACTGCTCACAGCCTCGACACAGGTGGCTATCATTGGTTATCAAGTAAAAACAATTCACATGCTGGGTAAACAATTCTCCAAATCACATTCCAAAGCAGCAAAACATGGAGAAACTGAAACTTCTCAGCTTCTCAGGAGAAAAGATCCTAACAAAAGGATTTTTCATAAAATATGTCTGTGACATAAGACCAGTGCAACTTGGACTCGAAGGGGAGCAGCTAGGGCTGGAGGGGGAAATAATCCATTATTTTATGGAATGAACTGAAATGGGATGAAGATAAAAGGATGTGAGGGAGGAGTTCTATATTTTTTATGAACTGAAGGAGGATGAAGATGAAAGGAGGAAGGGGAGGAGCTGTAAATGTGTCGCTTTCCTGGTGCAGGCGCTTGGACGAGCCGGTGAATTTCCGCCTGGCCCGGCAGCTGGTGTACAGGAAGGTGCGCAAGGCCATCGGGCTGGACCGCTGCACCAAGTGCTACACTGGGGCTGCTCCCATCACCAGAGAGACCCTGGAGTTCTTCCTGAGCCTCAACATCCCTGTGATGGAGCTCTATGGCATGAGTGAGAGCTCTGGGCCCCACAGCATCTCCCTGCCTCACGCCTTCAAGCTCGGCAGGTGAGCGCCCGCCTGGGAGCAGGGCAGGGGGTTCTGCCTCTGGCACCCCCATCTGTCCTGCTGCAGCTCATCCCCACAGCCCTGCTGCCACTGGGGAGATGTGAATTTACCTTGGCTGGCTTCTGTGGGAGCTGGGGAAGAAGGAAAAGTTGGTAACTCCAACCTACTCTTCAATGGCAAATGACTTCAGTCTTCAGGGTGTCTTTGAGCAGCTCCTTCAGTCTGCACAGTGAAAGTTTGCTGCCAAGGACATAAATCTGGTGTTGAGAACAATGAGTGCAAACCAGCAGGTGTGTGAGCACTGATCTCTGCAGTAACAACCCTTTCTGCAGCTGTCCTTACATGAGCAGATGCCTTTAAAGCTCTTTGCTGGAACTCTTGTGCTGAAAAGCTGCTGGGCTTTGTTCAAAACCTCCAGCTTGAGAGGTGCTGCTGTAACTTCTGCTTGAATTGGGTTTAAAATAAATTAATCCTTGCTCTGTGCTGTGTTTCAGCTGTGGGAAGGTGATGTCAGGGTGCCACACCCTGATCCATAAACCAGACATGGATGGCATTGGGGAGATCTGCTTCTCAGGCAGGCATGTCTTCATGGGCTACCTGAACATGGAGGACAAAACCAGAGAAGCCATTGATGAGGATGGCTGGCTGCACTCAGGGGACCTGGGCAAGCATGACAAGGATGGATTCCTCTTCATCACAGGCAGAATTAAAGGTGACACATCCCCTGACTTTGTCTTGGTGTTGTGCAGCACTGTGGAATCAGTGAGATGTTGATGCTGGGAAATTCATTTTGATGTTGGGAAATCAATGATGATGGTGATGATGATGAGTTGGCCTCATGGAGCCCAGCTGTTCCCTCAGCACTGCCAAGGCCACCACTGTGTCCCCATGTCCCCAGCTGTCCCATCTTTTAAATCCCTCCAGGGATGGTGACTCCACCACTGCCCTGGACAGCCTGTTCCAATGCTGTGAAGAAATTTTTCCCAATATCCAGCTTAACCTGGGTATGGGGAAAAATCTAAACCTCCTCTGGTACAGGGGGTGCTCTGCTGGTTGTGTGGCTGTGACTTGCACAGAAGAATATTCAAATCCTTCATCTCCTGGAGTTTCCACTGGAATGTGGCTGCAGGGTGGGAGGAGAGGGGCAGCCTCTGGAGCCAGGGTGTGTTTGCAGAGTGAGGGACAATCTTCTCATTTCAGTTCTCTGATTGCAATTCTCTGATTGCACCACCAGTGCAATTGGTGCTTTGTGGGTTTGTTTTATCAGCAGCTCAAAGTTTCAGGAGCTTTGCAGAGTGACCTCCAAGGAAAACAGCAGCTTAACCCTCTTGTGCAAGTGCCTTGGGGCAATGTGGCTCTTGGGACAGAGTTTGGGCAACCCCAGACAAAGCCAAGGTCACTCAAAGCTTCAGCCCTGAACAGAGAGAGGTGCAGCTCTGAGGAGCAGGAGATGGAGCAGGGGCTCCCCTCTGCTCTGCAGCACACAGGAAGCTCCTTTCACTTCAGTTTCTGATAATTTGGGTGCCACCTTAGGAGCCTTAGAGGCTCAGGTGTCTGTGCCAAGGGGCTCACCTGCATTGCCAGGCTGCAAACACCCCTGGGCTGAGTGTGAGCAGCTCCTGCTCCTCTCTGCTGCAGGCAGGGATCAGCACAGGGGCTGGAAAAGCCCTTTAAAATGTGCCACATTCCCACATTTCTGAACATTTTTGGGGATGGTCACCCTGTGACTGTCCCAGTCCTGGTGTGCTGACACAGACTCCCTGTTTGAGCCAAAGGAGCAGTTGAGTTGTTGCAGATTGTGGGAAGGGGAGAAGCTCCAAGCATTAATCAGGGTTTGGTTGTTTTCCAGAGCTCATCATCACAGCAGGAGGTGAGAACATTCCTCCTGTTCCAATCGAGGATGCTGTCAAGAACGCTGTTCCCATCATCAGCAATGCCATGCTGGTTGGAGACAAAGCCAAATTCCTTTCCATGCTCCTGACACTAAAGGTAATGGCAGAGAGGATGGGGATCCACCACCTGTGCTGCTGAATCTGAGTCATTCCAGGGAGGAAGGGTTGTTACACACTTTTAGTGTCTTGTGGAGCAGAATTGGCTGCAGCTGAGCTGCCAAGAGCAGCTGAAAGCACAGAGCTGTCACTTGCTCAGACCATCAGGCCCTGCTGCTGTTCAGGGCAGCTTTTGCTGTGCCACAGAGGGCAGGGAGAAACAGAAGGAAAAGACCCAAAAGTGAGGCTGGAAAAGGAAACCCTTCTGCTCTCCTCACCTCTTTCAGTCTCTCCCAGAGCAGTGTGGGAGGTAAAAAGCTGTCAGGGATTTCTTTGTCAGACTCTGGATTTAAACTGCACCAGGACACATCTGTGGTGGCCTGTGCTGACTGTCAGAGTGGGAATTGAGACCAGGGCCAGCAGCCTTGGCCTGGGGCAGGAGATCTGAGGTGGCCCTGGGGGTGGCCCTGCTGCTCTTGTCATGGCTGAGGGCTGTGTGTGACTCCAAGACTGCTTGTGCACAGTGCAGGGAAATAAATTGTGCTCCAGAAAAGGTCTGGAAAGCAGAGATTGACTTTGGACAGAGATTAACTTTGGGCAGCACAGGAGGAATTGGGCAGATGTGCTCCTGAGCAGGCACAGACCCGAGGGGTTTATCTGTGCTTGTGCCAGGTTTCCATTGGCAGCCAGGGGTTGGGTGGGAGCTGAGGGGCTGGAGTGGGGCAGGGAAGGGACCCCAGAAGGGACCCCAGGAGCTGTCCCAGGGCTGGAGGCTCCTGGTGCAGAGCCTCAGGTGCTCAGTTTGCTGTTGTGCTTGGCCTGCAGTGCGTGGTGGATGCAGAAACGGGTGAGCCTGGAGATGACCTCAGCCCAGAAGCTCTGGCATTCTGTCAGAGGCTGGGCAGCAAGGCCACCAAGGTCTCAGAAATCATCAGCAGCAAAGACAAGGCCATCTACACTGCCATCCAGAAAGGGATCTCTGCTGTCAATGAGAAAGCTGTGTCCAATGCCCAGAAAGTCCAGAAGTGGGTCCTGCTGGAGAAGGACTTCTCCCTGTTTGGTGGAGAGCTTGGTGAGTGTCTGGGTGTGCCCTGTGCCCCTTCCCTGGTACTGAACATCAACACAACCACAACCCCAAAGCACAGAGCTGCCCTGGCCTTTCCTCACTGTGGCTTTTCCACGTGGCAGTTTGGGGTGGGATCACCTGGGGTGAATTCCCAGTCCTGACCGGCAGCACCGAGTGCAGCAGCACTTACCTTGTGCTGTGGTGCCTCTCACAGGGCTATGGAGCATCCTGAGCTGGGAGGGACCCTCAGGGATGATCAGCCCAGCCCCTTTCACTGCACAGACACCCCAACACCCCCACCCTGAGCACCCCTGGGAGCTCTGGAGCTCTGGCAGCCTTGGCACCATTCCCTGGGGGGCTGGGACCTGTGCCCGTGTTCACAGGGGTCTGAGGATGAGGGAAGAGATGTGGATCTGACTCCATGTTTCAGAAGGCTTGATTTATTATTTTATGATATATGTTACATTAAAACTATACTAAAAGAATAAAAGAAAAGGTTTCATCAGAAGACTAAGCTAAGAATAGAAAGGAAAGAATGATAACAAAGGTTTGTGGCTTGGGCCCTGTGTCCAAGCCAGCTGGCTGTGATTGGCCATTAATTAGAAACAACCACATGAGACCAATCACAGATCCACCTGTTGCATTCCACAGCAGCAGATAATCACTGTTTACATTTTGTTCCTGAGGCCTCTCAGCTTCTCAGGAGGAAAAAATCCTAAGGAAAGGATTTTCATGAAAAGATGTCTGTGACAGGGACCGTTCCCTCTGGGTGCTGCTTTGGCTCACAGAGGAAGGGAGGGACACTCCATTAAACCCAAGGAGAAGTTCAGAACTTCTCTCAGGTCCCTGTTCCCGTGTTCTGCCTTTCCCTCCAGCCCTGCTGGGTGCTCCCAGTGCTGCCCTCCCCTTTAACCCTTTGCTGGCTCCCCACAGGCCCCACCATGAAGCTGAAGAGGCCGGTGGTGGCTCAGAAATACCGGGACCAGATCGCTCGGTTTTACACGGACACCGAAAAACCCTCGGGGGAGCCCTCGGCCCGGCCATAGAGCCCGCCCCGGAACCGCCCCAGGACACTCCCAGCTGCCCAGGAGCGATTCCCTGATGGATCCTGCTGAAATAAAAGCAGCTCAGCCTTCAGGCAGCCCCTTTGCTGTCCATGTCCTGCAGTGTGGTGAGCGTGGTCCTGCCCATGTTCTCCTGTGTCTTGTGTCCCTTGCTGAGATAGCCCAAATATCTCAGCTTTGTATTTTTTATTTCCATTTTTATAAGGGCGATATGATGTTTACCTGAAATCCACGTGATCTGTTACGTTCTAACCAAAGTTTTCTTTTCCTGAGATGAATGTAAAACAGGAGCTGCAAATCAGGAGCTGCCCTTTTTCTGCTGAGGGAGAAAGGCAGATTTCATTTTCCAGCAGTGTCCTCACTCCCTGCTGCACGTTTCCCTGCATGCTGATGGCATCCTCATAATTTTAAATCTCCTTCCCCACAAACTATTCCTGTGTGAGATGACAAATGCTGTGACTACACACAGCAGTGGAGGTGGAACCTCACATGAACTGGGCTTGTCTGTGCAATATTTTGAGTTTGTTTTACCTTTTTGAGTTACAATGAAGCCATAAATTGTATTGTTGAAGTTGTATCCATGGCTGGTATTCTAAGAAGCGATTTACTCCAGGGATTATTTATAAGGCTGTGTACAATGTGTGAAATCTGTCTGTATTTTACAATTCAAGAATGCTGTGGTGTCTGTTGCGGGGAGCTGCAGAGTGGAGGCTGAGGGCTGCAGCTGTGCTTGGGGACAGGGGCTGGTGCTGGGAGCTCAGCCAGGTTCTGCTGGGGCTCTGTGATCAACCAGCCCCGAGCTGTGGAGCTGCTCCGTGGAGGGCACAGCCTGGCCCAGCTGCAGCCAGGAGCTCCTGGTGCAATTCCAGCAGGGGAAGGATGGCTGGGAATGGCTCAGGGCACGCAGGAACCCTCACTGGGCAGGGAGAGCAGCCCAGCTCTGGCTCCAGTTCCATTTCCCTGGACTGGAGGAGCACTGGGAGGAGCTGGGGCAGTGCTGGGGTCACAGCAGAGTGACAGAATTAAACCCACAACTCTGCTTCGGGTCAGTGGAATTCCAGTGCCTGAATGCACTACTGGGACTGCAGCTCCCCTGTGTGCTGAGCTGGCTGCAATTGCTGTGTCCAAGTGAAATAAACTCCTCTGTTTGTGTCTCTGAACTCTGTCTGGTTCCTGGCATGGAGCAGGGGTGGCTTTGCTCAGGCAGGGAGAGCTGAGCTGTGCCCAGGGCACCAAGGACAGGAACAGTCCCTCAGGGGAAGGGGAGGGATGGTGCCACCCTTTACCTGTGCCAGGGCAATGCCCGTGCCAGGGCTCTGTCCTGCAGTGGGAACCCTCAAATCCCACAGGAGCTGCCCCACACAAACCCTGCTCCAAGGGCAGGGACCCCTCACCTGACCAGACAAAGCTCTGATGGATTAAAGGACATTGGAGTCACTCCATGTTTAAAATAATTCCCTTTTCCTTGGCTTTTCCCAATGGTGTTACCTATGCCACTAGGGGAGGTTTTGGGAAAGCCACACTGCCATCCCTGGAGAAACAACACAACTGAAAAACACTTCCAAGTTTTACTTTTCCATCTTACTTTATTTCACTTTTTCTAGAAAATTCCTCCATAGTTCCACAAATTTAACAAAAAGTTTAAAATTCAGGACAAACAATCCTGTAACGTATTACAAACATGAGTTTTTTTGTGGTTTTTTTTTTTCTTTTTAATCTTGCAGTTAGTCTTGGCTCAGCTGCATTTCTTCCAGCTGAGCGAAGAACTTTTCTCCCAACACAACTTTTAAAATCCTCAGGTGCTGAGGTATTTAATACCTCGGCTCTAGGCAGAAATACAATTAAAAATTCTCTAGAAGTTGAAGTACTTACATTTTTCTTTAGGAGTGCAAACTCATCTTGTCAGTTTTTGATGGCTATCAAAGGAAAGCAACACCCATTTGGGTCCTTTGAGCACTGATTCACCTGTCCCAGGGGAGTCTCAGCAGGGAGGAGCCTCCTGTGAGCAGAGCTGGCTCCAGCACATCCCCAATGGAAAAGTGGAGCTGGAGCCACTCTGGGCTCTGCTCGTGGAGAGGCCCCTCCTGGAGGGACGTTTTAACTCTCTCACCATCAAACACGGTCCAAGATGTGACAATGAAACTGTTTCTGGATTGTTGCATCAATGCTTGGCTCGTTCTGATGCTCCCAGGGCACCCCACGATCCCACAGGTGGCAGAGATTGCACTTCCATGGCTGCAGCCTGGGCTCAGGCAGCCTCCCCTCGTGGCACAAACACCCAGACTGGGCTCTGCTGCCAAGCCAGCCTTCCTCTCCTCTCCTTTTTATTAAACTTTTCTAATGGTAATGTCAGTAATCAAAGCCTCGAGGCTCAACGCGTGGCAGGGCCAGGGAAAGGCTCCTGAGGAGCCGAATCCTGACCCTGCCTCCAACACGATTCCAGCTCGGGCTGCCAGCACTGGCTGTGCCAGCAGCAGCACCACAAGGAACAGGGAAAAGGAACAGAGGCAAAAGGAACAGAGTCCTGCCCACTTTCCTTGGAAAAACCATTATGGCTACAAGTCAATTTGGGATTCTTTTTTTTGTTTTCTTCCTTTTTTTTTAACAACGCAAGCTACTACACATCCTCGAGGACCTGAAGCAATGCCCACAGCAGCACTGCCCCCTCCTTCCTAGAGTACAATAATCCATCCATGCTCTCAAGAGTGACACAAGAACAAACACTTTATCCACAAAAACCTGTACATGGCATGTTCAGAACAGCGTTCAGCCAGCCTAGAGGGAATTACACAGGGAACTGCAAGGGGACACAAGGTGAGGCCCAAAGTGACCAACCTTGCTTTGCAGCCACCCCTCCTGTGCTCCCCACGCTACCACATACCCCAAAAAACATCAACTCTGTAGAACAACTAAGTACTTGCAAAAACCTTTTAGTAACAAATCAGCATGTGCACACAATGGAGAGGAACTATTGCTGGGGAACAATCCTACCTCGGGTTTTCAGGGGGGGGGATTATAAACAGTCTAAAAAAATCCATGTGTAAAATACTTCTTATAAAAACCAAACGAAATCCCTATCAATGCTCAGCAGACTGACCAACAAAGTCACTTCCAGGACAGGACGATGCCATGGCAGGCTCAGAAGAGCCTCCTGCAGGTGTGCCAGGGGCAGGGTGGCACCTCCAGTGCCCTGAGGGGCAGCTCTGGAGCTGGGACAGTCTGCAAGTGCTGGCACTGGAGCTGTGGGAGGAGCGGGCAGCACTCAGTGGAGCTGGGGCTCAGCCTGGCCACCCTCAGTGCCACCAGCCCCACGCCAGGGTGCCAGTGTGGGCACAGAGCTGCCATCCCCTGGCACAGCCCCACAGAGACACAGGCTGTGCCCAGGGTGGGTGTCCTGCTGCCACCTCCCCCTCTGCTCCCTGGCCTTTCCATCCAGCCCTGGCATCGTCCAGCAAGAAAGAAAAGAGCTGAGATCACTGGCGTGACAGGGTTTGCACCCAGCATGAGCTTGAATTCCATATATATATATATATATATATATATATATATATACACACACACACACATATATATATATATATATATACACACACACACACAACACATGAAAGGTGGTACAAGGACAAAATTAATGGGAATCGGGTCAACATGACCCAACTCAAACAAGCTTATCATCATATTGCCACTTCAGTTGATTAGTTGCAACATTTCCATGATAAAGAAAGGGGGAACCCAAAACAAGGGACAGCAAACCTGGAGGGGTGCAGCCCTCCCTGAGCAGAGCAGAGGGGCTCCCACACTGCCTGTGCCCCATTTGGCAAAGCTTCCAGAGTCCTTGGAAAAACCAGCAATTCCTGGGCAAATACTGAATTTAGGGAGCAGGAGTGTAACACAGCTTGGGGGGAGGGCTGGGGTTGCCCATGCCCACCTGGACAACACTTGGAGGTCAATACTAGTTTAACTAGAAATCCAGGGAGGGGCTGCATTAGTGTTTCTGTTTCTGCCTTTTCCTGCACAGGCAGCAGGGTGGGAGAGGGAGGAGGGAACAAACCCAGCTTCACTTTGTGTTTTACATCAGCATCTCCAAAATCCGAAGATTTCAGTTCTCCCTTGTTTTGGTTTTCCCGAAGTACAGCCACTACTATAGGGGCCACTGTAAGGAGATTCCTCTTTGAGAACACAGAACAAAACCAATCACATGTTTTGGCAAAGTTATCAAACACTGACAAATGGAAAGACGATGGATGAGCCCCTTCTGGAGCATGGGATGCCTGGAGGTTGCTGTCCAGCTTCCTTACACTACAAATTGTCCACAAGAGTCAAATCTTATTAAGCGCCTTCCCCTGCCAGAGCCATAAAAAAACAACAGAAAAACACACCCTTAAGATCATAAGACCCAACTAGGCCCTTCTTATACATACAGTACATACATATATATAATATATATATATAAAATATACAGCTTACAGTTTTGGAGTCCTATTACAGTTAAAGCAGACTGAAAGGAGTGGGACTTTGTTTAGGAGCTCAGATCAACAAACAAGACATCTCCAAAGCCCAGCAGGAGACAGCAGGTTCCAGAGGCCTCCTCACCGAGCACAGAGGGTCCTGTCCCCACACCAGAGGGTGATCCCAGCTGGGATGGAGCTGGAATTGAGCCCCTCTCCTCTGCAGCAGACCAGCAGGAGCCTCCTGTTGTCCCCAGTGTCCCGGCCAGCTCTGTCAAAGCCGATGTCACCCACAGGGCGCGGGGCAGAGCGGGAGGGCTCCGGTCCCGAGCTCCAGGGGAAGGGAACAGCATCCACGCTTCTTCAGAGCTCAGAGATGCCTGCAAAATGTGCTCTTGAAACACAGTTGCTCCAAGGGAAACCAAAAAGGTCGCGCTGTGCAGCCTAAGTGCAGCACGCCCGCTCTGCTGGGGGCCTGGCCCACAAAGGCAGGGCCGGGCACAGGCTCAGCAAGGCGGGCGCTGGTTTGAAGCCTACAAGAAAAGTGCAGCTGGCTGAGCATTCCTAGAGCATGGCTGTTCTCTAAGGCAGTGCTTCTTCGGGTGAGGCAGGAGGATAAGAAGGCCTAGTTCCATGGGGTGGTTTCCTGGTACCAGTGGAGGGGATGTCTGGGTGAAGAGCAGAGCCAGCTTGCCAGGCCCAGCGTCATGTGGCCACGGCCTCCAGGTAGCTCTGCAGCTTGCGGACGGTCGTCTCATCCAGGGAGAAGAGGTCAAAGTCAAAGGTTGTGTTGGTGACGTTGAAATGCCCGGTTTCCTCAATGAGATTCACGATCTGGAGAAGGGGGATGGGTGTGAGTACAGCTCAGAGGGTACAGAGCCCAGCCAGGCTTTCCCACCCCTTGGAGGGAATCCTTTTCCCAAAAAAGCAAACCAGCTCCCCCTGCCTGCCTGACCAGCTCAGCCTGGAGAGGGATGTGGGCAGGTTTCCTTTTCATCATAAAATAACAGAATATCCTGAGCTGGGAGGGATCCCCAGTGCAACCCCTGTCCCTGCAGAGTCACCCCAACACCCCCACCCTGAGCACCCCTGGGAGCTCCTGCAGCTCTGGCAGCCTTGGCACCATTGCCTGGGCAGCCTGGGCAGTGCCCAGCAGCCTCGGGGGGCAGAACCTTGCCCTGAGCTCCATGCCAAGGCCTGGCACAGCTGCAGCCCTTGCTGAGCTCTTGTCCCTGCCCCTCCATCCCCTCCCAGGAGGAAGCTGTCAGTCAGCCCAAGCTGTCAGTCAGCCCAAGCTGTCAGTCAGACCAGGAGATCCCACCTTTAGGATTGTTACCAGCATGGCAGAGGGAAGATGCCCACACCACACTCCTGTACCGTTTCCAACAAAACCATTGCATGCACAGCTGATTTTAGTTTTTACTTGATATTTTTGCTTTCAAAGCAAAGCAGAACCTGTGTGGAAGGGCCTGGCTGAGCCCCTGGACCCCAGACCCCGGGGACACAGGGACAGCAGGGACACAGGGACACAAGGACAGGGTCTGTACCTGCTGGAGCACGTTGCGCTCCCGTAGTGCCATGAGCCGCCTGTGGAGCTCCACCAGCTCATCCGTGTAGGCCTGAAACACAAACAGGGACACGTGGAGCTGCCAAAGGGACCTCCCCAGAGAGGATCACAAGAACCTGAGGCCATTTCAGATATTCCCAAGTTTTCCCTACTTTTTTACTGCCTCCTCCTCCTTCTCAAGTACTTCCCCTAAATGCAAGTGCTCTGAAGGCCTTTTATTGTTTTTTTTATTTAATGACACCCACAACTGTAACGAGCTCCAAGAACTGGGCAGAGCCTTTAAGAACCTCAGTGAGGTGAAATTCACCTTGGTGACCTCTCAGTGTGAGCTCCTCATCAGTGGGTTCTCCTAATTAACTCCAAATTACCTGAAAACATCAGTGACCAAAACCCAGCAACCTACTGAGCAACGCTTTGCATTTAGGTAAGGAAAAATTCTTGGAGTGCACTGTATTCCCAGGTGGTTTTACCTAAACCACAGCAGGAAATGAAGGATTACTCACAGGCTCAACATGTTGGTTGTTCTTAGGTAAGAGGGGTTTGGTTTTTTCTTAATTTTAGGTTTTTTTTAGGCAACAGGTCTGTATCAGCAAAACTGATTTACAGAGTCAGAGAATCACAGAATGGACACTGCTCTGCCCTCCCTGGAGGCAAGGAAAGAGGGAATTTCATTGAACAAACAAAGGCTCCAAGTAAACCTGCAAAGCAGAGCATCAAATAATCTTTAATTTAGAAGATCAAAGTCAGATGAAACTGCATTTTAATGAAGTGCCCCAGCACTGCAGCAGTGACCAGCCCATTGGTTCAGACAAAGGGCAAACAAACACAACAATTTCAGCATTTTGCCTATGAACACCCCCTGGGGCTCCAGCTATTTAATGTACACAATTTCTGCAGTGTCACTCTCCAAAACCTGTCCTTTCAACATCTGCTTTTTGTTAAACTCAAGTTTTTACCCTGCTGAGACAGAACAATGAACGGGCTGGGCTGATTCAGGTGGTTTTGTGCACAGTGAGGCCCAACCATCCTCTGATTAAGCTCAGCTCCTTAATCACAGAATCCTGGGATGGTTTGGGTTGGAGGGATCTTAAACCCATCCAGTGCCACCCCTGCCATGGCAGGGACACCTCCCACTGTCCCTGAGTGCTCCAAGCCCTGCCCAGCCTGGCCTTGGGCACTGCCAGGGATGCAGGGGCAGCCCCACTGCTCTGCCCACCCTGCCAGGGAACAATTCCTGTCCAAATCCCATCTAAATTTCACTTTTTTAGTGGAAGCCATTCCCTGTGTCCCGTCCCTCCAGGCCCTCATGGAAGGTCCCTCTCCACAGGACACACCTTGTCATAGGTTCCCTTCTTCAGGATCTTCTCTGGCTTGTTACAAGACTCTGGGCTTTTCCTTCCAGATGCCTGAGGGGAAAAGAAAAACAACAACAGGACCAGAATGAGCTCAGGAAACAGAATGAGCTCAGGAAACATGGGGGTGTCACAGCAGAGAGCTGGAAAGGGAGGGATCCCCTGTCAGCTGAGGACAGGACAGGGAAAATGTGGTGCAAGGAAGAATTTCCAAGGCAGGGCAAACAAATACAACAATTTCAGCACTGGGAGGAGGGAGGCAGGGGTTTCACACCTTGTTGTTTGCTGGGGGCAGCTTCTGCCCAGGAGGTGGCTCCCGGCTGGGCGGGCACGAGTCGGCGCTGTTGTCACTGTCACTGTCACTGAGGCTCAGTCTGAAAAACCACAGCAGAGATTGAGCAGCAAACTCGGCACCAGCTGAGCCACACAGAGCTGAATGAAACTCTTCTTTATCACAGATTACTGCTCAGGCTGGGAGAAAGGGATTCTTGCAATCTCCAGGGACCCATTTTGCCCAGGGAGCTTTGGGTGCCACATTACAGGCACCAGCTCAACTCTGGCATTCCAAAGTCCCCTAGCACAACTCAGCACCACTTCATTTCACAAACAGCAGCTGCTCAGGAATTCCTCTCAATGTTACAAAGTACCTGCATGAGAGGCTCACTGATACAGGCAAAAAATGGATTTTGTGTTGCTGCTGGTGTAACCTCTGAGATTTCCTATTTATTCTCATTCTCCTTTGGCCCTACAGATATGACAGGTATCCTACCTGTGGTGAACTAAACTGGTTATCCCCTAAAGGTTTACAAAAATACCCTTCAAAGTCCCTCCATTATTGTTTCCTTGATGATGACAAGTGCAATAATGCACCTTAGTTTGTTTTGGTAACCACCACCAGCACTTCCAATGTGCAGCTGCTCTCTGGGCCAAGCATTTGGGTTCAAGTATTCACTGACACTCCAGGTTTGGGCAGTAACAGCATTTCCTGAGGGAAGAAGGAGAAGTTCAACTCTTTCCAGAGTGTGGGGCAGGAAACAGCTGCCACTGAGTGCAGAGAGTGGAGAAGCCAGCACAGAGAGGGCAGAGAGAGCCCTGTGAGCCCCAGAGCAGCACACTCTGCCTGGCCCCACAGATCAAAGTGCCACACTCCAGCAGCTCTGCAGAGATCTGAGGGTCACCATGAGGTGACTGTTTGAAGGGGCTCAGTCACTGACACCTGCCAGCCCAGCTCAGCACCTCCCAGTGCCTTCTCCTCTCTGTGCTCTGCAGCCAACCCTGCTGTCACCACTGTCACAGACATCTTTCATGGAAAATCCTTTCCTTAGGGTTTTTCCTCCTGAGAAGCTGAGAGGCCTCGGGAACAAAATGTAAACATTGATTATCTGCTGCTGTGGAATGCAACAGGTGCATCTGGGATTGGCTCATGTGGTTGTTTCTAATTAATGGCCAATCACAGTCAGCTGGCTCAAACTCTGTCTGAGACAGAACCTTTTGTTATCATTCTTTCCTATTCTATTCTTAGCCAGCCTTCTGATGAAATCCTTTCTTCTATTCTTTTAGTATAGCTTTAATATAATATATATCATAAAATAATAAATCAAACCTTCTGAAACGTGGAGTCAGATCCTCATCTCTTCCCTCACCCAAAAACTCTTGTGAACACCATCACACACCAACCACCTCTGTGCTGGGTGACCCCACACATCTGCCCTTCCTCCCCTCCCACCCAGAGCCCTTTGATTCCTCCCTCCAAATGGAGAGCAGCCTAAAATGCAGAGTGTAAAAAGCAACCCAAGAGCCCTGCTGTGGATTTGTTACCACCTGGAATCCCTGCTGACAGGGTTTGTTTTGACTGCTGCCTCCTCTCCCGAGGAGCTGTCGTCATCATCCGACTCCTCGGACTGCAGATCCTCCACCATGGAGCGCAGGGGGCCTGGGCACAGGGACAGCAATTCAGCACCAGGGCAGAGCCAGCACAGCAAAAACCTTCACAGCCCCACCCAGCCAAACCTAAGCCCAGCCCAGCCCCACCCAGCACAGCCAAACCCAGTCCTGACCCCCTGTGAGATGGGACTGGCAAAGGACGCCCTGTGCAGGCAGCTAAAGCAGAGCTGACAAACTTTACAGCTCCCTCCCTTCCCAAAGGAGAACAAAAGGACATTTTTCATGCCTGTGGGGTTGATTTAAATGTCACTGGAGACAGGAGCAGCGCAGCATTTGCTGCATTTGGAACATTTACTGTGTTGCCAGTTTCCCTCCCTGGGTTATCAGTGGAGGGATCTGAGAAAGGAGCTGTTACACACTGGCAAAGTGATGAATGGCACATTTATAATTTTTAATAAAACATAGATGAGATTGGAGGAGAACTGTTCTGGTGATTCTACAGATCAGGCAGCAGCAAGACATTTATAAACTGAGGCAGAAACCAAAGCCAAAAGGGAAAGAACCAAATCCAGAGGGATTCCCTACTCATAAATTAGCTGCCAAGAGAAGAAAAATACTTGTTCATGATGTTATAACATTATTGCCTTTTCTTGCTGAAGCATCACAACTCCAACACATGGCTGCATGCAAGAAACTGTATTATTATAGTGCTGGAAAAGCACATTTAATTCTCCTGAGCATTTTAAGGTTACACAAGGAAGGTCTGAACAAACTGTGCTGGGAACACACCTTGACTGTGGTTCTGAGATGGCTCGAAATCAGAGTCAGAGCTGGAGTCGGAGCTGGAGCTGGAGTTGGAAGGGCTGGACTGGACAGACTTAACCCCCCATAAAAGGGAAACAAAAGAAAAAGAATCTTAATCTTTCTAATCCAGAAAACCAGAGCACAAAGCACTGTGAGGCAGGAGCATCACCCATCACTGAATACAGTTCTTGGGGTTACAGAAAAACACAAAATGTGAGGTGAATAAAAACATTTATGGAATCTTGCAGGATATAGCTCAGCAATTCTGGGAGCAACATCAAACCCCTTCACACAAGAGGTTCAAACCCCCCAAATGATGACAAACATTTAAATTAAAGCTCTTGCTTTGAAGTGTGACAGATTAGCAGTACAGAACCCAAACCTACCCAAACCCTCTTAAAAAGTGTATTTATTGTACCCACCAAGGTTCCCTTGAACCTCAGACTGATCACTGACCATGGAGCTGAGTCAAGGAGTGGTTTGGGTTGGAAAGGACCTTAAAGATGATTTAATCCAAATCATCATCCCAGGCTGCTCCCAGCCCTGTCCAGCCTGGCCTTGGGCACTGCCAGGGATCCAGGGGCAGCCCCAGCTGCTCTGGGAATTCCATTCCAGGGATGGATTCCACAATTCCTGATTCCCAATCTCCCACCCAGCCCTGCCCTGTGGCAGTGGGAGCCATTCCCTGTGTCCTGTCCCTCCATCCCTTATAATCAGTTTATTTTTCCTGCAGGCTCCTTCAGGCACTGGAAGGCCACAATGAGGTCACCCCAACACTTCTCCAATCAATTCCAGTTCTCTACCCCTTTCCTCACAGACATGGAGATGTCCATCCCAACTAGCTCACATGACTCCAAAATTAATTCTAAATTATTATTATAATATCCTAAACCCAGTTGTTTACACCAGTTTGAGTGATCCACTGGCTCCAACATAACAGAGATCAACTCAACCCTTGTGACCCAAATTTGTGTGTCAGAACCTGGCAGAAACAAGAGAAGTATCCTGTGCAGTAAGAGTGAGTGAAAAGTAAATTAATTACTGCTAACAGCAGCATCCAGGAAGGAAATTTGGGCAAGATTGGGAAATTTTTAATCATAAATCCGATACTGGCAGCAATCACCTGCAATATCCTTGGGAGCCACCAGAGGGCAGAAGAGGCCACAGCAACTCCCTCTGCCCCCTAAAATGAGATTTTTGGTACTCAGGCAGGTTCTAGTTTAAAGATTCTCAAAGCACTGTAATATCTTGTCTTTTTAAAAGTAATTCCATGGAAATCATCATTTCAGTTTCAGTGTTTTGTTCCTAGAAATCTACTTATTACTCCTGATGCTGAAGAATCACACACAGCCACTGATAAATAATTTGACAGGAAGGGTTAATACTATAAAAACCTTGAGACAGGCACAAAGAGGCACAATCCCTGCCCTGTTGACACTGTCAACAAAATATTGGCAAGATTTTCATTATTTCACTGTAAGAAGGGGGGAAATGTGTCAAAAATGCTATTACAGCCCTTGGGAAGGGTTCAGGAGCAAAGGAGAATAATTTAACAGTTCCAGTATCAGGTCTATTGGCACATTGCAGCAGATCTGGCTGTTTAGGGAAATTCCAAGATGGAAGTGGAGAGCAGAGAGAACAGAGTGCCCAGAGCAGCTCTGGCAGCCCCTGGATCCCTGGCAGTGCCCAAGGCCAGGCTGGACAGGGCTGGGAGCAGCCTGGGACAGTGGGAGGTGTCCCTGCCATGGTAGGGGTGGCACTGAATTATAGTTAAGATCCCTTCCCACCCAAACCATGGTGGGATTTTATGAATATTTTCAAGCTAATTGAGCACAGCTCTTGCATCTGACCCACAGCTCCAATCCTACATCACTCATTCCTGATAATCTGCAAGTCTTCCCTTAAAAAATCCCTTAAAATTAACTTAACAGGATCTAAGCAGCAGCTGTTGGAGATAACCAATCTCTCCTTTTGCCATTTGGGCCATCAGCTCTTTGAGGGGAGGATGCAGATGGACACACTCAGTGACTGTCACTGGGATGTGACCAAAGCAAAAAGCAACCCTGCCTCCCATCCCTGCCTCCCCTTTTGTCAGCACCGAGGCAGCCAAGCATGGGGCCAGCTCAGGGAACTGGACTTGGTGGGGGAAGGAAAAAAAATGATTAAAAAACCCCCAAAAGAATCAAGGCCAAGGAGCTGAAACAGCAGGAGAAGCTCTGCAGTGTCCCCTCCGAGCAGCCTGCAGAGATGGCAGCTGGGAGGCACCGTGGAGCTGCAGCCCTGAGTGTTGCACAATCCCCTGGCTGCAGCAGCAGAGCTGATTTAAGAGTTTCCAGCCCTGCTCCACCCCCACTCAGTGATGTGGCTCCCACCGGCCCCACACAGCAGGGCCAGCACAAACCCTGGGGCAGAACCAGTGCTGGGGACAGGGACATCCCCAGGGTGCTCCCCAGAGCCTGGGTGCTGCTGCCAGGGCACTCTGCAGCTGGGCTGGGGCTCAGGTGCCACAGGAACCTCTGTCACCGCTCCCTGTCTGCCACACAGAGTGTCCCCAGCACCCTAAACAGGAGCTGGGCCAGCAAGGACACTGGGCAGGAACTGGGGCAGGACAATGGTGCAGCGAGGACACACTGGGGCAGGACACACTGGGCAGACACTGGGGCAGGGGACAAACACTTGGGGCAGGGGGACACACACTGGGGCAGGGGACACACACTGGGGCAGGACAATGGGGCAGGGACACACACTGGGGCAGGGGACACACTTGGGGCAAGGGGACACACTTGGGGCAAGGGGACACACACGTGGGGCAGGGGGACACACCGGGGCAGGACAGCAGGACACTGGGGCAGGACAGGCTGCAGCAGATGCTCAGCCCCACTGTCACAGGCTGTGGTTCCAGGGACAGCCTGGCAGCACTGTCAGCTCACACTGCTGGCAGAGGGGATGGGGACACCTCAGGGACAGCAAAGGACACTCAGGGATCTGCACAGTCACAGGTTTGCAGGGAGGGCTGTACATCTGGGATTGAAATGTGGGGCTTGCTGAGCACTTTGGTAAAAGGCTCAAAGGAGAGAGGAGCTGCCTCTTCCTAATGCGGGAATTTATCCATGTGGGAAGTAAAGTGATAAAATCCCAGAATGGTTTGGGTGGGAAGGGACCTCAAAGCCCATCCAGTGCCACCCCTGCCATGGCAGGGACACCTCCCACTGTCCCAGACTGCTCCCAGCCCTGCCCAGCCTGGCTTTGGGCACTGCCAGGGATGGGAATTCTCTGCAGAGTGGAATCAGCAGTGCCCAATAAACTCTTCTACTGAGAGTCCTGCAGGAAAAACTCTTCCTGAAAAAACACATCAGTATTGTTGTATCACAGTGCTGATTAAATCATAATACAAACTGTCCCTAGAAAATTAATCTTAATAAAATAAACCTTTCTTAAAGTGGTCAGGAGGAACCAGCTCCAGAATTCCCATGACATGATCCTGTGAACCCTATTACAAGATATATGGCTCCTTTTTAACAAATATACAAGTGAAAAGTAGCAAGAGTTTGGATTTGTCTGTTCCTTCTTGCATTTTTTTGCCTTCTTTTGGAAAACACTTTTTAGAAAACAGAGGATGAGGAATGTTCGCAGTTGTAAAAAGGAAAAAAATATTTAGACAGCTTTTAAAAATAGTAGTACAAGAACATAATTTGTTTTATGTTTCACAACACAACTTACTTAGATTTAGGGGCATGTGGTTGCATTTTGAGCTTCAGCCAATGGCACATTTCTTACAGGCCACGACAGGAAGAGGGGCTTTATTTACATTTTAATGCTGGGTTTTTTTCATTACCAAGACTGAGATGATTTCCTTCTTTTCTGAAATAAGATCACATTCTAAAACACTGCCATCATGAAAGTGTCTCTGTATCTCTTGTAGCTCTGTAGATATCACTGCAAGGGATCAATGAGGGACCATAACCTTAAACTCTGACTGCAGGTAACTGCCTGCAGATAAATCTCAAAAAGTTTGTACAGGAGGAACATTTAATATTGACTGCAGTTTCAAAGAAGAATTTTATTTGAGATGCAACCCAGCCTAAGCATTTCCCAATCTGCTGCTCTATCTTCCCTGAGAGATTATTTTTAACATCTTTTCCAGGCAGGGATTTAACATCATCCTTCCACACTCTGGTAAAGAATAAATCCCCACTCACCTCTGACTTGAAAGAAGTTTCATCCTCTGAGTTTGACTCCTCCATCTCCACAGGCTTTTTGATCTCCTTGGCCTCGCTCTCCGATTTTACCTTTTCCACTTTGGCATTCATCTTCTCCTTGGTTTGTTTCTTCTCTGGATATGAGGAAGACGAGGTTCTGGGAGATGTCCCCAGGATATTCTTCACCCCTTTGGAGCTACTCTTTTTTTGTTTTTTGGCACTAGGCTTTGGTGACTCCACGTTGGAGGGCCTCTTGCTGGAAGACTTTAACTCCGGCTGTGGCCCCCCCTTTGGAGAGGTGTTCTCCAGTTTGGTCTCCTTCACGGCCAGTTTTGGTTCCTTGAAAGCAGCTTTTGGAGGTGCCTTCTCCTCCTTAGGCAGTTTGTTCTCAGTTGGTTTTCTGGAGGAGTCCTTCAAAGGCTTGTTCTGTTCTCTCTCAAGGTCTTTGGAGGAGTTTTTGCTCTCAGAGTCTTTCCTGGGCCTCTCCCTGTGCTCCTTGGTTACTTTGTGTGGCTTGGATGCTTTGCTACTTTCCTTGTTTGCATCCTAAAATTCAGCAACAGAAACATGCAAGCTGGGTATGAAACTGCAGCTCTGCACAGAATGATAAAACACATCCTCATAAATCACATGGCAATGTTTGTTCTGTGCAGAAATCCACCCCCACATGCCCAGGTAAACATCCACATTTCCCTCAAGCTGCTGCACACACACTGGCAGTGAGCATTTCAACATTTAGGAAAGGGTGAAACATGTTCTGCTCCTTTCCAGGCTCTGTTAAAGGTCTATCTAGAAACATCTACAGATGTTTAATGCAGGTTTAGCCCAGGTAAACACTCACACTTCCCTCAAGCTGCTGCACACACACTGGCAATGAGCACTTCAACATTTAGGAAAGGGTGAAACATGTTCTGTTCCTTTCCTTTCCTCTGTCAAAAGTCTAGAAACATCTACAGGTGTTTAATTCAGGTTTAGCTCAGGTAAACGTCCAGATTTCCCTCAAGCTGCTGCACACAAACTGGCAGTGAGCATTTCAACATTTAGTAAGGATGAAACATGTTCTGCTCCTTTCCAGGCTCTGTCTAGAAACATCTACAGATGTTTAATTCAGGTTTAGCCCAGGTAAACACTCACACTTCCCTCAAGCTGCTGCACACACACTGGCATTGAGCATTTCAACATTTAGTAAGGATGAAGCATGTTCTGCTCCTTTCCAGGCTCTATCAGAGGTCTAGAAACATCTACAGGTGTTTAATTCAGGTTTAGCCCAGGTAAACATTCACACTTCCCTCAAGCTGCTGCACACACACTGGCAGTGAGCATTTTAACATTTAGGAAAGGGTGAAACATGTTCTGCTCCTTTCCTTTCCTCTGTCAAAGGTCTAGAAACATCTACAGGTGTTTAATTCAGGTTTAACCTGAATGCAAACACAGATGCAGCTCTCAGGGCACCCTGGAGGAAGGGAAGCAGGAGAATGTTGTCTCTTTAGCAACTGGCAATTTTCACCAGAGCTCATCTCGGAGCCCTTTATTTCTCTGCTGTGTTTTTCAGTGCTTAATTCCTGACCAAAATTAAATCAGCCACTAACAGGTAAGTCATCTTCACTCTGTTTCATAACATCAGAAGGCATAACTGAAGTGCCAGAGTGTTCAGAGCCCTGAAGAACATGGCTGTCAGAATTGAATTACACTGGGAAATGAATTGTTGTTAATACCTGTGACTGTTCAGGCTGACACAGTGCAGTAATCTGCTCTAAAATACATTGCTTGGGGATTGTTTCCCCCATGTAGGATTATACAAAAATAGCTTCAGTAAATAAGGGAAAAAAAAGAAAAAACTTGAGGTTCTTTGGGTTCTTTGGAAGTGTCAGGGCCTGGCTGCTGCTGGACACAAACATCCAGAGTGGTTTCCACACCTTCCTCTCTCTGCCCAGTACAGGAAAGCACTGGCACACAGTGAACAGGAATCATGGATTGGAAAGGGCCTTAAAGCTCATCCTATTCCACCCCTGCCACAGGCAGGGACACCTCCCACTATCCCAGGCTGCTCCAAGCTCTGCCCAACCTGGCCTTGACATCCTCTGGCTCATTAAAAACTTTTTGGACTTTGTGGCTTGGACTGATTTGCCCAGATCTTGCATTTATTTGAGGATCATCCTTTAGTCTATCCCTGCTCAATACCTTCCCAGATGGAAAGGTTCAGCTCCTGTAGCAACCCATTCTCTACTGGGTCTTCTAGAGAATACCTACTTCCCACCCCAACCTGTTTTCACTCTATATTGTCCAATTTTCCATTAATTTTTTTTATTATCTAAACCACAAGTAGCTGATGCCAGGTTTAGAGGTCATTTATTGACCAGGAAGCACTATTAAGTTTAAAAGCTCCAAGTTATTATTAAGTTTAAGCTCCAAGCATCCCTTGGAGCAAGTGAAGTGTTTGATGTTCTCTCAGCACTGCCCTGAGGAAGAGGAAGGGCTGACTTCCCAAGGGGTGCAGGGCATGGCAGGCAGTGAGAGAGCCCCAGAACCCATCCTCAGCATCAGGGACACAACCAGAACCATCAGAGAGGATTTCATCTGCCTTTAAGAACGATACAATCCACCAAAAATTCCCAGTCTGGCACATTTAATTTTCTTTTCGAAACTTCCCTGGAGAGAAGTCTATCAGATCATAAAAAAACCCTCCTAGAGGCTTGGGAAGTTCCAGACCATTAAGTACTGAACTGCAGAGTACAAGGAGGTTCAGAATTAGCAGCAGCCAGGAACAGCTGCTGAACAAGCTCTCAGCAGCCTGGCCTGAAAGACTCCCTCACCTCAGGCTGACCCAAACATGTGCTGCACTGACCTTTGACCCATGGGAGGGTTTGGTCTTCTTGGGATCAGAGAAGGCAGAGAGAGGTATCGTGGGCAGCATTGGATAATCAGGACTTGGCCTTGAAACAGTCTCTGCTCCTTCTGGCATCACCATTACCTGGGAATAAAGAGGAGGGAAATTATGTCTGCACAAAGTCTCACGGACTATTAACTATTAACACATTATTATGTTGAGCCACTTGCTCAATTAACACACTATTATTCATCTTTTCAATGTTTTTTTCCTCGCCTGCTTAAAGGCTATAAAAAGATATTGTCTATGGAATGCTCAGTTTCAAGGCAACTCCTCAAATACAGAATATTAAACTCACAAAACTGAAAGGCAGCAATGCAATATCGAGTGTCTTTCCCAAAGGGAATGCCAATATTCTGAGCACAGGCAGGCAATAAAGCTCTGGACAAGAACTCTGTGTTCTGCTGCAAATGCTCTTCCCCTGAAAAAGGCAAGGGAGATAAATCTGGAAGGAATGAGCAAGATTTCCTTGGTTTAGGAAAAGCTGAATTCGCTGTTTCAGGGGAAAAAGGAAAAAAAAAAAAAGGGCTTGGGTCTCTCCTTTCACAAAATCTTAACACCAAGCACAGAGCTCCATGGAACAATTCCTTTCCTACACTGTCAGGAGAATTCTGTGAAAAATTGCCACCAGAGAAAAGGCATCAAAAGTGATTAACAGCTGAAATACCTCAGTACACAAGGACTAAAATACCACAGTGTGAAAATCCTAGAGAGCAGGTGATGTTCCAGCCATCCTAGGGCTGAAATGAGCACCTTGCTCTCTCTGCCCAGTACAGGAAAGCACTGGCACACAGTGAACAGGAATCATGGATTGGAAAGGGCCTTAAAGCTCATCCTATTCCACCCCTGCCACAGGCAGGGACACCTCCCACTATCCCAGGCTGCTCCAAGCTCTGCCCAACCTGGCCTTGACATCCTCTGGCTCATTAAAAACTTTTTGGACTTTGTGGCTTGGACTGATTTGCCCAGATCTTGCATTTATTTGAGGATCATCCTTTAGTCTATCCCTGCTCAATACCTTCCCAGATGGAAAGGTTCAGCTCCTGTAGCAACCCATTCTCTACTGGGTCTTCTAGAGAATACCTACTTTCCCACCCCAACCTGCTTTCACTCTATATTGTCCAATTTTCCATTAATTTTTTTTATTATCTAAGCTACAAGTAGCTGATGCCAGGCTTAGAGGTCATTTATTGACCAGGAAGCACTATTAAGTTTAAAAAATAATAATAAGGAATAATAAAAATAATAAAGGTAAGGAATGGTTTGAAAGCCTCTCTCTTTCCTTGAGCTTTTCTGTATTGACCCAGCTCCTGGCACCAGGCAACATTCAAAGCAGATCCCACTTTCCAGAGGGGTTTTGAGGGGTTTTCTGCTTTGATATTAATGCTCACATTTAAATTGACAAAAGAAGTGTCACCAATCACACACCAACAAAGGATTTGTTCTGCTGCAAGTGCTGCAGCTCTATAACCACCAGTCACAACTGGCTGGGTCATCTTGTAAATGAATGTAGAAAACTGCTTGAAGCCTGCTGGCCTTAAAGAAACCTCAGAACAAAACAAGCCCACTCCTTTTAGGATCCCAAACTGGGCACTTACCCCTCCAGCCCTGATGAGTTTGCGCCTGAATTCCTTGGTGGGGTTGTTGAAAGTCAGTTTCTCACAACGAAGGTGGTTCACAGGTGGGTTCCCCTCCAGATTTAGGAACAGGTCATATGTGAAACAAACCTTTTTGGGCTCCTCCTAAAAACAAGAAAGGCTATGGGAAACTGGAAGAAGCTTGGCAAGCACACTAAGCCTGGGGATGCGAACAGTCACTCCTGAAAATCCCAAATAAACCACCGAGTGTTGCATTCATGGAGTTTTTCACCATGAGATCAGAGAGCTGGAAATTAAACTATTTGTGCTTGAGGTTAACATTGTTCATCAGGAAGTCAGGCATGAGGCTTCTCACTGCAAAAGCAATGCATGGACACAGATTTTTGACTGAAAATTGTCTGCTTAAAGCTGTTCAAGTCTGCCCAGAAAAGCAGATTCACAAGCTTTATGCACTACTGTTTTCACCAAAATTCAGATCCTATCTCCTTTGGGAAGCAACTCTAAGTATCAATATTAAGAAAAGCATAATCCTTTTTGAGAGAAGGAACAACTTCTGAACTCCCAGCATCTCTGCAGGCACTGAGAAAAGATTAAAGGCAATGGAAAAAGGATGACTTAGTTTGGAAAATCCTTTTCAATATGCATATTGCAGGGGCTGAATGGGTAGATATGCCAGGCTTTTGAACTTTCCAAGGGCACTTTCACCCAAGCAACCCAGAGTTTGTGTGAGTGCTGGGGGGATCATCTGCGCCTCACTGCCTCTGTTCCACCCGCTGCGCTTGCAGCACAGAATGGAAGAAATCCCTCTCTTTTTGCCCTAAAATTGCAAATACTCTTCTTGTGTATTACAAAAATATGGACAGGACACTGCCTGGGTGTTTCTTGCAGTTTGATTTCCAAGCTGGAAATTCAATGTGCAGGAGAGGAAGCCCAGTGAGGCCAGCAGTGCCCTGCACATTTCCATCCATGCACCCCACATGCCTCATTCCCTGTGCAGCACCGAGCAGCTGCACAGCAGTGTTTTCCAGAATTCCCTTCCAGCAGCTCCATTTCCTGGTGCAGTGGCATTGTTGGATGGGAACAGGCACTGCAGGCTCCCAGCCTCAGCCATTAGGTTTGCTGAAAATAGGTTGAAACAGCTTCAGACCACTCCAGTTCCTGCAGAGGCCATTGCCTGGACAAACTACACCTCTAACAATGCAAAGGGTGGTAGCTACACCTGGTTTACATCAAAATCAGTTCCCTGAGCTTATCTAGGAGTTGAGGTCTTGGATCCTCACCCTCAAACAGCAGCAGGGTTTGGTCACAGAGGAAATGCAATGTGCAGGAGAGGAAGCCCAGTGAGGCCAGCAGTGCCCTGCACATTTCCATCCATGCACCCCACGTGCCTCATTCCCTGTGCAGCACCGAGCAGCTGCACAGCAGTGTTTTCCAGAATTCCCTCCCAGCAGCTCCATTTCCTGGTGCAGTGGCATTGTTGGATGGAAACAGGCACTGTAGGCTCTCAGCCATTAGGTTTGCTGAAAATAGGTTGAAACAGCTTCAGACCACCCCAGTTCCTGCTGTTTGCTGCAGGGGCCATTCCTTGGACAAACTACACCTCTAACGATGTTAGAGGGTGGTAGCTAAAGGGTGGTAGCTACACCTGGTTTACATCAAAATCAGTACCCTGAGCTCATCTAGGAGTTGAGGTCTTGGATCCTCAAACAGGAGCAGGGTTTGGTCACAGAGGACAGTATCATATTAACATGCTGCCAACACCAGGTATTCAGACCCTCTTTTGGGGAAGTCCTGAGGAATCCACACACTCCTGAAAGGAGTTGACTAAAACAGATACATGTGAGGAAGAATAAAAATCCTTGCAAAACACCCTGCCCTGTCATTTGCCTGTTTTCCATGCCTGTTCTCATTAACTGAATCATTAGCGAGCTCTGCGTGTGCGCTTGCTGCAGTTCAAACAGCAGCTGCACAGGGTCCCTCAAAGCCTAATAAACTGAAATGAAGGATGAATAGAAATCCAAATGTGGCCTAATAATGGCTTCTAAAATGCTTTCCCTGCTTTACAACAGAGTAAATAACCTTGGCTCCATCAGCAATAGCAGGCTTTGGTCAGGAGATGTTTTGCCATGCCATTACCAGCTCTGCTTTGTCATTTGCCCATTTGCTTTCCAAGCAGGAGGGAGGCAGCAGATCCCTTTTCCTCTCACCTTGGTATCCCATTTTTTGGTGCTTTTTTCACTAAAAACTGAATTGAATTTTTTGTAGAATTAAGACATTTTTTTAATGTGATATCCTCCAGCTCAGAGATCACAACTGCCCTGGGAATGAGCCCCAGCAGAGTGCCCTGATCATTAAAATCTCCTTTGTACCCCCCAGGCCACAAGGAGCCCCCCACCCCTCCCTCAGTGAATAGCTGAGATTACAGCACTCCTAAAAGAACCACCACAAAACTCTCAAAGCAAAAAGCTGCAAATAAACATTCTTTCCTTTACTGCCCTCACTGCCCAGCTAATGATTACAGCTCAGGCCACTCCAAAGCTTAATCCATCCGGTCCTCCCTAAAAGGTTCTTCCCCCCAAACAACCATCAAGGGGAAGAAGGGGGGGAGAAACCCAAGGAAAATCTCTCTCAATTGACCCAGACCTAGCCATCCTCTAACTTGAAATAAAAAGGCTGAGTCCACAGTGCCACACTTCAAAGCCTTTCTCAATAACATGTTGGGATCCACACATCCTGCTGCAACTCACAGGAGGTTCTTTCTCACCCTACAAACAATCCTACACACCCTTCATGTGCTCCTGCTTCACACAAACAAGCCAAGCTTTGCTCTTAGAGAATTCCACCTTCTGATTTTCAGAAAAACTGACAGGGGAAGAGACTTTGCTGCTCCCAAGACCATAAGCTTTTCTAAAGGGCCTGACATCCAAGAAAAGCTTTTAAAAGGGTGGTTCACAGCTATTTCTAACAATTCACATTTCTAGATTTAAATCCAGTGGCTCATTTGGCCATGAAATGGTTAAGCTGGTGCAGGGATGTCTCAGCAAGGCACCTCAGAACCTCACTTTGCATCTGCCCCTTAAATCCCAGGATGCCAGAGAAGTAAACTCCAAGTGAGCAGCACAAAGCCAGAGCTTTTATTTGCAGCTGCTGTAAACTTCCCTTCATCCAGTGAATCCCCCAATTCCACCTCCAATCTCCTGAGCTGGGTACATTAGGTTTTATTTTTACTGCTTCCTGTCTGCACCGCCTGCCACTGAGCTCTTATGAGCTCTGAAGCTGCTTTATTTTTCCTTTGAGTTCTGAAGTAATGGGTTAAAGTTCTTTTGGCACTTTTCTTAAGAGAAGGAATTTTTGAAAGTCTTTTGTTAAAATTTCCTTGTCTTGTTTTTAAGGCAGGGTGTGCCCTTTTGCCACTTAACACAAATCAAAAGAATTTCACTGGTAGCGTGCGCATAAAGCTCATAAATCACTTTTAGAAAGCCATAAAACAAAATTATCTACAAAAATCTAGCACACCAAGGAAGCAGGCTCATGGTTATTCAATAACTATAACATCTAACACCACTTCCCTTTTGCCATGGATCCAGCCTGACAGAGGCATTTATCCAGAACTGCAGAAATGAAAACCCTCACAGGCTGGTCCAACCTGTCTGACTGGTCCTGGAGCAGCTTCCACACAGGGCTTTGCAAAGGGAATAGCCCAATATTCAGATTTTGAAATAATCCACTCAGGAACCCATGAATCAATGTTATCTTTTGGAAAATTCCCCAGGGTTAAGCATTTAGGACTTTCCTCCATCAGACTTTCATTACTTTGCTTGAAAATCAGATTTTCCTAATCTATATTTTATTATATATATGTATATAATGAGTACAATAATTATTTGAGTATAAATAATATAGATTAGTGTAAATATACCTCTTTATCTGCTCACTACTCCATGACAAGCACTTAATAATCTACTAACTCTTACAAATACAAGCTATGAAGCTGGCATGGCTGATAAAGCTTCTGTCTTTGCAAACACAGCCTTGCCACACACTGCAAATATATAAATATCTAAAAATATATATGTAATATATAAATATACATATAAACATAAAATATAGATATATAAATAAATAGAAAATATATAAATATACATACACATAAAATATATACAAATATACACACATATATATACATACATATATATACGTATATATACACACACATATATATACATATACATATATATACACATATATACACACATTATATATATATATATAGATAGATATATATATAGATATAGATATATAGATATAGATATTAAAATAAATATATATATATATATATATATATATATATATATATATATATATATATATAAAATTTTTTCAGCATCTGGAGGTGCCTATGGATGTGCCACCCTGAATGGCTACTCAAACACACACAGCCCAGGGTTTGACCCTGCTCAGATAAAATAATGGGTAAATTAATAATCCAGCCTAATTTCTGACAGAAAAATATAAAAGGAAAGATTCCCTAGACAGCAGCAGCAGGATAAAAGGAATTGCTGCAGGTTTGGGAAGGAAGATGGTACAGGACAGACCTAAAATATTTTCCTCTTTCAGCAACACTGAGTAAACTCCAACAGGCTACAGCTACTCATCCTCTCCTCAAACCTGGGCACATCCTGCCCAAAATGGCAATTTCAGGAAAATCAAATGTCTCTTCACCTTCCTCAGGAGCAATTCCCTGGCCAACCCTTGCCCCAGCTTCCCCCAGGAGTATTTCCCAGGCCAATCCCCTCCTGATGGCACAATCCTGACACCAGTTGTAGCTGCTCCTGTTTCACCTCCCCTGCCATATGTGCAGCCCACCTACAACATCTCCACGGAGTTCCTACTCTGATACACAAATAATTCTCCCCTTTTTCCAATATTTCTCTCTATTTGTTTTCTACATCACCTCTACAAAGGTTGCAGAAGGGGTAAAATATGCTTATTTTTCTTTTGAACCTCAGTGGAAAAAATCAAACGAATTTTTCTGCTTTCTTTGCTTATCTCCTTCTCACTAATAGGAAAAGCCCAAGTTCCATGTATCCATTATGTAAATCCTGCAAGGCTTTTATCTCTAGCACTAAAATTAGGAGGTAGCATCTTTAAAGAGACTTTAATACAAGATCTCATCCATGTTGCATTAATATCATCTGCCTTATATCAGAATAACATGAAAATCTACTAGACCTTTAGCTTTGTGAGGAGGATTGATCTAATTTGATTAGGATGCAAAAAATGTCACAGGGAATGAATACCAAAGCCAGACCTGTATTACAGCCTCCAGATTACAACGTGTACCACTAGAAGAGATTTATTTGGAGACAACAATGAAAAAAAAAAAGCCTCCAGACTGTTGAAATTGAGGGGGAGAGGGAAGGGGAAGAGCAGGAGAAAAACAGCAAGGCATTTGTTGTAGCGGGTTTGTATCGATTCGAGCAGCAGAAGCCACTCACAGCAGCCCTCGTTACAGGAACACAAAGGATTTCAAAACAAAAATAGCACACGAACATTTCCAGTCCAAATCATCTGCTGTCATTAGCCAACTCGACTTCCAAAAGCTTTATCAATCAACCTGCTGAGCCCCTGCCATTTGTTTTTCAGGATCAGTTACAGCAGCAAAGGCTCTGCCAGTGTTAAAGGAGAGCACGAGTGCTGTGGCTGCCCAGGCTCGCTGCAATATTCACAATTTATATTCTGCAATTCAAATAGCAGAGCTGAGAAAGCACTGCTCATGGAGGAGCTGGATTGCAGCACAAGGACAAACACAGGCCAGCAATGTGCACAGAGGATAAGAACAGCCTCTTACACCTTTTTCACACTCTGCTGACACTTCCCCACCCCACAAAAAGGCACCGAGTCTGCTGCTCCAAACACACACAATGATAACAAAAAGGGAGTCCTCCAACACAAAGAGTCAATGGGCAATTTTATGCCAAGCTGGTTAAAAAATCCCTGATGAAGTTAATTAAAACAGTTCTCAGTAAAGCTGCTCCTTCCCAGAGCACAGGTTGGTATTTCTCTAGCCAAAGCAAAGAGCACAGGGGCTCTGACAGCCAGCATTTGTCATCCCAGCAACAAATCAGAACAGGGAAAGGAAAGGGATAAGAAAGGAGCTTAAATTGTGGAAAAAAACCCATTCCAGCCAACCATGGCAAAGATCAATCTCCACAGCCTGGCTCACTCCCTCTTTAAATCCTTTCTCTTCTCACCTTCACAAAGCTAAACATGCATCAATAAACAAATCCCAAAGCCTCTGCAAGTCTGGTTTCAGCTGAGGACACACACCAACAAAAATGTGTCAGATTGTGAGGAACACATGGCCTCAAACCCCACCCAGTCACCTCCAAACAGCAGACCAATCCATACCAGCTACTTGCAGAGAATTACTCAAGGATGAGTCCCAAATGCTGTAATCAATTCACAATATCTGCTGCACTCACACCAGCTGATCCCCACCAGTGGCAACAGGTTACAGAGATCAAAGTGAGAACAAGGTCTTGAAGTAAAGGAAACTTTATTTGGAGTTTTAACACCTTCTTTAATTCAGGAGAACACAGGCTGTATCCTAAACCTTTGCCATTCCTCCTCCTCCCCTTTCCCTATCTTTTTAATTTTTACTATATCCCAGTCTTTGCAGAAATATTTACCTCTTGCATTTCCTTCAACTCCACTTGCAGAAAATGATCAGAGCTCTTAAAATTCCCAGATGGCATCACCACTGGGCAGAGGAGCCCAACTGAATATCCTGAGCTGGAAAGGACCCTCAGGGATGATCAGTGCAGCCCCATCCCTGCAGAGCCACCCCAAAACCCCACCCTGAGCACCCCTGGGAGCTCCTTGGCACCATTCCCTGGGCAGCCTGGGCAGTGCCCAGCACCCTCAGGGGGCAGAACCTTGCCCTGAGCTCCATGCCAAGCCCTGGCACAGCTCCAGCTCCTCCTGAGATCCTGCTCACCCCCTCAGCAGCAGCTCCTGAGCTCCCTGCAATCCTTAGTTCATGGCTGAATCTGAAATCACATCTTTGTTCCATCTTCCAGCACATCACTGGAACATTTTTCCACCTTTTCCCTCAATCACCCCTTGGCCCAATTAAATAATGAGAGGTGCTGCCTGAAACTCCTTAATTAGCAATTTGTTAATCAGCTTAAAAATGGAAAAGAACTTCTCCAGCAAACATGCAGCTAAAAAAACAGGGCAGAAATGAGTGTTTTGAAGATCTGTAGATTTGAAAAACAAGTCTGCAACTCAACCTGTTCTCCTATTTATTTGTCATGTTTCTGAAGACCAAAATGTCAGAAACAAAGAGCCTTCTCCTAAATTAACAGCTCCTTCCATTGTTTCCAGGGAGAACAGAGCCCACCTATTTCCCTTATTTATAAAAGCCACCTCTCTGCTCAGTGCTGGGGAACAAGTCTGCAGTCACGTGTGTGGAGAAACAATGAGGAGTGATGACCCCAGTGGGTGTGAAAGCAAGTTCTAGGCAGAAAAGCTGCCAGCTCCACACTCCATGAGGAACACAGGAATATGAGGGACAGAGGGAAAAAGAAAACACAGGAATGCAGATGGCAGTGACACCTCTGAAAAGCCACAGAAATGAGGGAGATCTGAGATTTGTGAAAGAAACCACTGGAGAGCTGCAGGGACAAGGGAAGAGTGGGGAATGGCTGGGTGAAAATAAAAGGGAAGTGTAGAACTAAAACACATTTCACCCTCTCAGGCATTAGAGGTTTCACTTTTAAGGAATCAGCCTGGAGAAGTTGACATTTTTTGGTCAGGAGTGTAAAGGATCTTGAACCTGACTCAAGCCACCATTTAGTGCAGATGGAGAATTTTCTGCTTCCCATCTAAAACCTCAGAAAAGTCACCAGAAGTAGAACTACTTCAAGCTTTTGAGGTGTTTTTGTTGCACTCAAATGTTTGCCAAAAAAGCTGCTTTTATCAAGACCATTCACCCCCCAAGCCCTGCCTGCCATTCTTCTTCTTTTGGTTCACCCTACCCACCCAAAAAACAACTTGTGGGCGAAACATTCCCAGGTTTAGGAGGGCACTGTGTTTTCTGTGGCTCATTCCAATTATCTGGATTCCTCCAAGCCATAAAGTGGGGTCAGAGCAATGTGGCAGGCCAAGAACCCAAAATGCTGATTATTCACAGCGACACTGCCAGGAGAGCACCCTGGGCTGGAGTGGGGACAGGAGGGAAGAGCAGACAGATGTTTGTGGGAGGCTACTTCAAGCTTTTGAGGTGTTTTTGTTGCACTCAAATGTTTGCCAAAAAAGCTGCTTTTATCAAGACCATTCACCCCCCAGCCCCTGCCTGCCATTCTTCTTCCCAGCCTTTTAGTTTACCCTGCCCACCCAAAAAACAACTTGTGGGCAAAACATTCCCAGGTTTAGGAGGGCACTGTGTTTTCTGTGGCTCATTCCAATTATCTGGATTCCTCCAAGCCATAAAGTGGGGTCAGAGCAATGTGGCAGGCCAAGAACCCAAAATGCTGATTATTCAGAGTGACATGCCAGAAGAGCACCCTGGGCTGGAGTGGGGACAGGAGGGAAGAGCAGACAGATGTTTGTGGGAGGGACAGGGAAAGGAGGATGGGAAATAAATAGATTGAGGCTGTTCCATGTGGTCTGCTGTCAACACACCTGGGCTAAGGGCTCTGAGGGGGTGGGAGAGCACAGATTCCAGGGATGTGGCTCAACATTCTTGGTTTAGTTTACCTCAGTTCCCTCTTAGGGATCATAAGCAAAACATTAGTTTTTATTTTATGATTTAAGCAGTAATCAAACCCAGAAACATCCATTATTCATGTTTAACAAAACAATTTAACTGCAACTGAGGAAATATGAACACAAGTGCCCAATTCCCTGTTTTCATAACCTACAGCATGTGACCTCTGTGGTAGACTTAAAGCAAGCAATAAATCCAAATTTTAACTTTCATATACTTGCTGGCAACGCATCTTAAGACTTAAAATATTTAGTGTTTTCTTTCTGGAAGAGCACTGAGCAAGAACAAGGATATCTTTAAGACAGCTCTAAATACTTGTGCTACACATGCAAATGTTTGTCTTGAGCCTCTGCAGATTTAATACCTATACAGTTAAATTTAACAAGCTTGCAAATTCAAAAGCAGATTTTTTAATATATTGAGAATCAACACAGTGTTTACAAATATTCATAGCATCAGTGTCTTATGTTTATTTACTTCCATATGTACATAAAATATTTTAAATTGCTTTAATATCCTCCATGCTAAAGAAGCTACAAGTGGCACAATCTCTGCTCAGAATCTCCAGGACCATCCTCTGTCCTGGTATCACCTTTTTATCCAATTCCATTTCTGCCAAAAGCTTTCTTTTGAAGTCTGGCAGGAGCTTCCAACTCCCAGTTAAATTCTATTTATTAGACTAATAAAAAACACACACATAAACCAGTCACATAATTTAGAGTCTTTCTGTCAGGCAGTTTCAGGCTCTGGCACAGCTCAAAACAATTAGAAGACCAGAAATCAGATTCTACCTTGTTTTTGAAGTGCACTTCAATGGGCATAATGAAGCCAGCGTAGCCAGACTCCTCCACCTTGTAGGGGGGCTCCTTGCACACTGAAAGAGAACAAATAAATGTGAGCTTGGAATTCAGCACAACTTTATTTGAGGCAAAAAAGGAGCTGCAAGAGGAGAGCTGGGCCTCTGACAGCTCAGGGCACAGTTAAAACATTGACCTTTGTGGAAAAACCCACACAGAATAAGATGGTGGCCACAGGCTTAGTTAAGAACATGAAATCTGTTCTTGGCTCCTCCCATGGAACGGAAACATAAAACACTGCAGGCCTGAGTCTCAGTGAGCTCCTTCCCCTCCTGTGCACCCAGATACAATTACAGCTCTGGGCAGGCCCACAACAATGCAAACTGCCAGCTCCAAGTGCCTGGCAAGGAAAGGCCAAGACCCAAAAAGTGGAACAGCACAGAAAGAAAAAAAAACTTTACTTTAATGCCCATGATTCTGAATCAAAACACTGCCACACACAAGCAGGGGATTATTTTTTCCTTGAAACACTCCCCAGTGCTCACAGTTGGGTAAGAGCCACGCTCCAGGTGAACAAACCTGAAGGGCGGGTGAGCACTGCTATTTATTTCACACACAAGGAAACACGAGGAGGAAGGTGAACCAGTTTGCTGTTAAGGTCAGAGCTGCTTAGTGCAGAAACAGCAATTAGAAAAGTTAATTGCTTTTCAGAAATTAATCTGCATGGCCCTGCCTCAGTTTCCCCTGTCCCGCTATCTGCTGTGGGTTCATGCTCCTGAATTTTCCTGTTACCCATTCCAGGATATCCAATTTGAAGGATTCCAGGATCATTTTTTGGCCATGAAGTAGCAGCACACAGCAGCTGCCAGGAGAAACATGAGACCCACACAGATATTCTCCCTCCTCAGGAACTGGATGCACTTGCATATAATTTATGCACTACAATATATGTAAATAAAGTCAATTAGGTAATTAGAGGAATCCAGTGCAAATCTTTTGAGTTTCTCTTAAGAATTCCAAGTAATTAATATGATTAGGAAACAGTACATCAAACCTAAAAGCACACAAATTATTTGCCTTTAATGTAGCTGTATTATCCCCTCCCAGCTCTAAGCACTTCTACCATCATTAAGGTGCTGGAAAGCAGCACTCCAAACACAACTGAGAAAAAAGGGCATCCCTAAAAATAACAAAAACCTCTAGACTTTCTTTAACTTGAATTTCATACAAGAATCCTGTCATTTAGAAGGAAAAATCCCAAAGCAAAGAGCAGTGCCAATATGGCAGCAGGAATCCTAAGCTTGTGTGCCAAGCAGCCTTTGTTCCTCTGCCACTCTGTTCTGACAAATTCCAAGGGCTCCAAGAGCAATCTGCCAGCAGCACGAGCCCACCTTCAGCACCAGGAGCTGCTCCAAGAGGGCACCATCTGAAAAAACCCTTCAGAAACACTCAGGGCTAGGAGAGGAACTTGAGGTACAACCCAGACACGCCTTGCTCCAAGGCTCACTGGAATTAGGAGCAAGCTCAAGGAAGTGTGGAAATTCAGGGACTGGGAGAAAATACCCCTGGAAAGGCAGATGATACAGCAACTGAACGAGCAAAGGCCATGGTTTTATACTGCCAGAGGGCAGGGCTGGATGGGATATTGGGCAGGAATTGTTCCCTGGTAGGGTGGGCAGGCCCTGGCACAGGGTGCCCAGAGCAGCTGTGGCTGCCCCTGGATCCCTGGCAGTGCCCAAGGCCAGGCTGGACAGTGGAAGGTGCCCCTGCCATGGCAGGGCTGGCACTGGATGATCTTCGTAAGTCCCTTCCAATCCAATGCAATCCAATCCAATCCAATCCAATGCAATCCAATCCAAACCATTCCATTATTCTATGTGCTATTCCAACACAGTTATTTGTAATAAATGAATTACACTAGAGGACAAGAACTGTAACCCACAGGTTGTATTTTTATTCTATAAATCAGCTCTCAGCTCAGTCCTGCACCTGCTTGTCACACATCAGTTTGAACAGAGCAGTTTGAAGGAGATTTTATCAACACAGAGCAGAGTCACACCCCTGTGAATGCTGAGCACCTCTCAGCTCCTTTCTTTGTGGACTCCCACAAATCCCCAATGTCACAGGCTGTCCCAAGGCACCCTGAGTGTCCTGCTCCTGAAGCACTATTGTCAGAAATGCACATTACAACAATTCTCAGGGGCAGCTTGTCTTTCTTAAAGCACCAATGCTGCAGCTCCAGTTACACAATCCTACACAGAAGGAACTGCACTGCCCCTGAGAAGGGCAATTCCTGCTCCTCCACCTCAACCTCATGAGCTCCTGCTGCCCCATGCCAACAAGAAGTTCATTTTGCTACAGAGTCAAAAAACAAAGTCAGAAAATAACACTCCAACCCAACCACAATGACTGCACTGGGCTTGCAGGGGGAATGTACAGTAAAGACACCATCACCCCACGGCAGCATTGATTTCTGCTGGGTTAAGGCTGCCTGAACTGGCATCTGAGAGTAAAACTTGCAACAATCTGCAAAACTCTCCATACCCAGTACACATCTGAGCCCAGAGCATCTCTCATGTGCTTCCAGCTTTTGCTGGTGAATTTTAACAAATCAAACCCATCTTTCCCATTGTGTAACATGAATTATCTTCTGCTGTCACTTGTGTCTTGAGAACCTGCACATACTAATGCTTAAATAAGAGGAGAAAGCAGCTCACCTCCTGCCCTTTCAGCAGAAGAAAGGTCAGGGAGAATGGGACCTTCCTCAAGCACAGCGGGGAAAGGTTCAAGCTGGAGTGCACGCAATGGATATTTCTCTCCTTTTTAAGGAGATATTTCACAGAAAAGTGCCAGTTGAACACAACCTCGACTTGGCAGAATGCTCTTTCACAGAAATAAAGCACACCCAGCCCCTCTGACCTCGCTTGGGTTTTGGGAAGCTCTCGTGCAGCCGGAAGACGACGCGCTCCACGAAGTGCTGGATGTCGCACTGCTCCGGGCCGCGCACGAACACCATCCAGTCATGGGTGAAACCTTCTGTGGTCGGCTTCTTGCGCAGCTGGGCCCGGTGCCCCAGCTCCAGCTTCACCTGCACCGTGCACTGTGAGAGGCCAGAGAACACAAAACCATCAGCAGAGAACACAAAACCATCAGCTCCAGCTTCACCTGCACCATGCACTGTGAGGGGACAGAGAACACAAAACCATCAGCAGAGAACACAAAACCATCAGCTCCAGCTTCACCTGCACCATGCACTGTGTGGGGACAGAGAAACAAAACCATCAGCAGAGACAACACAAAACCATCAGCTCCAGCTTCACCTGCACTGTGCACTGTGAGGGGACAGAGAACACAAAACCATCAGCTCCAGCTTCACCTGCACCGTGCACTGTGAGGGGACAGAGAACCCAAAACCATCAGCAGAGACAACACAAAACCATCAGCAGAGACAACACAAAACCATCAGCTCCAGCTTCACCTGCACTGTGCACTGTGTGGGGACAGAGAACACAAAACCATCAGCAGACAACACAAACCGCGCTGAAGACACCGCACCCCCCAAGGAACACAACACCCCCATGTGGGATCAACCTCAGGCTGCAACCCGCTGTTATGGACAGCCACTAAAATAACTCCCAGCACCATTTCATACCTATTTTCTTCCTAATATTAACATTGCAGAGAAAGCAGCTCTAAAAGAAGGATTGGTTTCTCTGCCTCGCTTATCAGTGAAATTGTCAGCAAAGTCCTAATTGAGGAATCTTTATTTCTAGAAAGTGTCAGAGACAGAACTTGATGTTCACAGCTTGCGGAATTCACAGCACTGACAGAAAACTCGTCTTGAAACAGGAAAAATCAGATCGGGAATTGGTGGTTTATAATATTCTGTAGAATATATCACTCACCAGAAGAAAATTATGTTTCCTGTATGGTTCTAAATATATTTTATTATCTCACTTTCAAAGACCAAGTTAACATATCAGCCTGCACAATGTCCAACACTAAATTGACCTAATTCTGATTTGCATTCCTGAATCCTACTCTGACCACTGAGTAACAGAGAAGGTGTATTCCACATCAGGCTCAAAGCACAAAAAATCCCATTAAGTGCCTTAAAAACCAAATGAAATTAATGGTGAAAATCCACATAGTATTGCAGATTTCACAGCCAGCAGAAAGGAAATGAATTAAACAGATGTAACAGAGAAAAGGCAAATGGGATTCAGACACAAGATAAATCAAGGAAATCTTAGAGCCACGTTTGTAGACAGAGAATAACACTCAAGGTAACCCAATTTGTTACACAAACCAGAGCAGCAGCAGTGATTCCAACTAAATCTACTAAAATCTAGCTACAGCACAAGGAGGCTCATAGGAAAAGGGGCTGGTTTTAGTCCCTACCCCATTCTTCACTTCAGGCTTGAAAATAAGTGTCCTGCTCTTCCTAGCAAGTCCCAATTACCATTGGGAGAGGCAGCATTATTTGTCATTACCTGTATTACATGTTGACCTGGAGCCAAACCAAGGGCATGTTAGACAATGAGCAGGGAAAGAGAAAGCTTCCTGAGCTCCAGACAAATGTTTAGGGAAAGTATCATCCTTATTTTCCCCCTGACAAACTGCAGCAAGGAGTGTGAGCACAATTAATGCTCGCTTTGCATCTCCAAGCCGAGATTTTTTTTCCCAGAGCGTGGTGAATACTTGCTGGAAAAGCACAAGTGACTCCATCTCAGCCTTCTTGTCTTTGTAAAAAGCTCTCACAGGAGGTCTGCAGAGCACCAGGCATCAAAGCCTGACCTCCCAAATTGCAGTCCAGTTCCAATTTCAACCATAAGCCTTAACACACTCTTGCAGGCAGCTTAAATCTTTACAGCAAAATACCTCCAGCCACCCAACACATCAATCCTAAGGCTCGGGGACAAACTCATCTCGTTAATTCCTTCACCATTATTGCTGCAGCATTTCTTTGGGATACCTTCCTCTGCAAGTTCTCTTGGCAGGCCATTTTTTCCTGTTCTTAAGGCTTATCTACAGCAGCTCCACCTCGTTCCTGCGCTAAGAACCGAGCCTAGGGCCGGCTGCTCTTTCATGTCGCATTAAGGGCTGAGAAGAAAGGCAAGGTGCGCTTCCCTCCAACGCTGCAAAAGCATTGTGGAGCCAGCCTGCCGAAATCCTCAGCTCACATCGGAGCGTGCCTGCAGGCCGGCTTTATCTGGGATGCTTCCCACAGCGCTCACATCCCCTGAGCCAGCCTGTGCCGCAGCCTCACGTTATCGATTCCGTAATTACCCTTTAAATCCTGCTACTGTTGCCAGTTACTACCCCTCTCCTGAGAAGTGCAAATGACTGTCAGGCTACAAAATCTGCCTTTCCGAGTTGAAACGGCTGAGAAATTGGAGCTGAGAACCAGATGGGGCTGTGTGGAAGAGACCGAAATTAAACATAAAAGAGAACTGTTTAACTGAGAGTGAAAGTTGTACTTGCTGCACTCCTCACACCCTGCTCCAATTAACAATCGCTGTGAATTAAGCCAGAAGTTGAAACACATTTGAAAATAAGATCTCCCAACATAACCAGCATCCAAAGTTGCTCCGCTGAAAATGGAGGGTTTTTTTCCTTTTTTTTTTTTCCAAGCGTGTCTCTCAACAAAGGGAAATCAGGATCCTATTCAAACAATTTGTAATAATACAAAGGAGCCTGCTTTCAACTTCTCAATAAACATTCTGAAGGCTGCTCTGGTTTTTGTTTGATGTGCTAATTGCCTGAAAGCCATCAGCAGCTCCCATTCCACTCCTGCGGGTGTAATCCGGGACAGCGGGGCCGGTTCCGAACCTCAGCCCGGTACCTGTTACCCGCACCGCGCACACAAAAGGTTCCCCATCCCCACATCCCCATCACCTCAGGTAAACTTCCCGCACGCATCCTGGAGCCCCCCAGGCCCGCAGGGACTCTCCGGGTGGCATTAACCCTTCCCGGTGGCATTAACCCCTCCCGGCAATAATCCCAGGCAGGAATTTGCGGGAAATGCTGCTCGCACCCCCCGCCGAGGGCGAGGCTGCAGCGGCCGCACACGGAGGGGAGAGGCTGAAACCCCCCCAAAGGGTGTGGGGAGTGTCCCCCCATCAATGGGATTAGGACCCCCAAAATATGGGGCGGGAAGGAGGAGCCCCCATCAAATGAAGGGTGTGATGTGCCCCCCTAAATGGGACTGGGGAGGAGGTGTGTCCCCCAAATGGGGCGTGGGGAGGTGTGCCCCCCTAAATGGGACTGGGGAAATTATGTACCCCTCCCCAAAATGGGGGTGTGGAGGAGGTGTGTCCCCCAAATAGGATTGGGGAAATGATGTACCCCCCCAAATGGGATTGGGGAGGAGGTGTGTCCCCCAAATGGGACTAGGGAGGCGGTGTGACCCCCAAATGCTGGGTGAGAAGGAGGAGTCCCCATCAAATGAAGAGCGTGATGTGGCCCCCCAAATGGGATTGGGGAGATGATGGACCCCCCCAAATGGGGGTGTGGAGGAGGCGTGTCCCCCAAATGGGGCGTGGAGAGGAGGTGTGCCCCCCTAAATGGGATTGGGGAAATTATGTACCCCTCCCCAAAATGGGGGTGTGGAGGAGATGTGCCCACCCAAATGGGATTGGGGAGGAGATGTGCCCCCCCAAATGGGATTGGGGAAGGGGGTGTGACCCCAAATGGGACTAGGGAGGGGGTGTGAGCCCCAAATGCTGGGTGAGAAGGAGGAGTACCCATCAAATGAACGGTGTGATGTGCTCCCTCAAATGGGACTGGGGAGATGATGGACCCCCCCCCAAAATGGGGGGTGTGGAGGAGGCGTGTCCCCTAAATGGGGGTGTGGAGGAGGTGTGCCCCCCCAAATGGGATTGGGGAGGTGATGTACCTCCCCTCAAAATGGGGGGTGTGGAGGAGGTGTGTCCCCTAAATGGGGCGTGGGGAGGAGGTGTGCCCCCCCCAAATGGGATTGGGGAGGGGGTGTGACCCCCAAATGAGGTGTGGGAAGGAGGAGTCCCCATCAAATGATGTGCCCCACCAAATGGGACTGGGGAGATAATGTACGCCCTCGAAATGGGGGGTGTAGAGGAGGTGTGCCCCCCCAAAATGGGACTGGGAAGGAGGTGTGCCTATGCAAAAGGTGCGGGAAGGAAGAGCTGTGCCCCTCAAATGGGATTAAGGAGAGGTGTCCCCCAAAAGGGGAATGGGGAGAAGGCATGCACACTCCCCAAATAGGGGGTGGGAAGGAGATGTGACCCCCCCCCCCAAAATGGATTGAGGGGATCTGCATCCCCCAAAAGGGTGTGGAAAGGAGACGTACCCCCTAAATGGGGGTTTGTAAGGAGGAGGTGTGCCCCCAAAAAGGAGTGTGAGGAGGACGTGTGCTGCCCAAAGGGGATTGGAGAGGAGATGTGCCCCCGCAACAGGGTGTGGGTAGGAGGAGGTAAGCCCCCCAAATGGGACTGACGAGGAGATGTGCCCCCCAAAAGTGACTAGGGAGGAGGTGTGCCCCCCCAAAGAGAATGGGGAGAAGGTGTCCCCTTTAAAGGGTGTGGGGAGGACATGTACCCCCCCAGATTTGAGGGGCTGGGAGCAGATGTGCCCCCCCCAAAGATGGTGTGAGGAGAAGATATACCCCCCCAAAGGGGGGCGATGCCACCCAGCCCCCCCTTCCCGAGGACAGGGGCGCCCCCCCCATTCAGGGCCCATTCCGGGGGGTCCCTCCCCTACGTGCCCCCCTCTCTGAGGGGGGGGCGGCACCGCCCCACCCCTCCGGCAGCGCGCCGCGGCCGCTCCCCTCACCTGATTGTCCATGGCTGGGCACAGCAGCGCCGCGGGCCCCGCTCGCTCGCTCCCGCCGCCGCGGCGGTTTCGCTGCCCGGTCGGCGGGGCGGGGGGGGAGAGAGAATCTCTTCCCCCGCTCAGTCCACGAGCGAAGCCGCTCTGTCCGTCCCCCCCACCCCCCTCCCCACCGCCTCGGCCGCCGCCTGCTCGGTCGCGGCCCCTCACGGCCCCGCCGCCCGCCTCATTGTGTGTCACTCACAGGCAGCGCCAGCCCCGCGCCCGCCCCGCGGAACCGGAAACCGCCTCAGCGCCACAGCGGCCCCCGCGCGCCGCCAATGCCCGCGCGCCGCACGCCGCGGGGCGCGGCCCCGCCCTCGTCCCCATGATGGACAGGCGTATCCACCAGTGAGCGGCGGGCGGGCTGCGGAGTGGGCGGGCCCGTAGGCGGGGTCAGCGCTGTGGGTCAGGCGGGGGGCGGGAGCAGGGTCCGGCCGCCCCCCCCAGCCCGGTGTGGGGCGATGTGGCGGCGGCTCCGGTCTGGGCGCCGTCCCGGTGGTGTCCCCGCTTCTGTTCCCCTCGGTGTTCCCCTTATTGCACAGCCAATACAGGGAGCAAGCGTGTGGGCCTCGCCGTGCGCTCCCGGCCACGCCATCTCGCCCCTTCTCCTCCCATCCCGCTCTCGGTCCACGTTTCCCCCGGCGGTGTGTTAATTCCCGACACGAATGAGGTGGGAACAAGGGGGAACGAGGGAAGCCGCAGGTCCCGATAGCCCAGGATGGCCGGGCAGGGCTCGCCTTGTTCTCTGCAGCCTCGCTCCTTCCTGCGCCTTTTTTCTCTCCTTGTCTCCCTCACGTTTCCCCGTCTCATTTTTCCCCTCGTTGTCTTTCATTTTTCCTCAGTGCTCCCCTTTTCCTCCTGCCTGTCTCGTTTCCCCTCAGTTTCTCTCATTTGCTCTCGTTCTTCCCCGTTTTCCCTCACTCCTTTATTCTCCCTTGTTCTCCCTCATTTTTCCTTTGCTCTCTTTTGCTTCAATTGCCCACATTCTCATTTTCTTTACATTTATTTCCTTTTCCTCTCAATCTCCCTCATTTCTCCCATCAATCTCCCACATTTGCTTTCAGTTTCCATTTTACCCTTGGTGTTCCTCCTTTTTTTTTCTGTTTTGCACCTTTCCCTCTCTTTTCCTTGGTCTCCCTCATTTTCTTTCAGTTTCCCTCATTCCCCCTTCTTTATCTCCCCTTTTCTCCTCAGTCTCCCTCATGTCCCCCTCAGTTTCTATTTTCCCTGCAGTATCCCATGTTTTCTCTCATTTTCTCCCTCAATCTCATTTTCTTTCAGCTTCTCTCCTTTCGCCCCACTCTCTCTCATTTTCCCCTCAGTTTTTCTCATTTTCCTCCTCATTTTTCTTTCCATCTCCCACATTTCCTCTTAAGTTTCCATTTTCCCCGTGTCTCACACATCTTCCCCTCAAGTTTCCCTCCATTTATCTCCTTTTCCCTTTGGTCTTCCTCATCTTTTTCCCCTCAGTCTCCCAGATTTTCCCCCTTAGTCTTCCTCATTTCTCCCCTCAGTCTCACACATTTCCTCTCAGTTTCTATTTTCCTCTCAGTCACCCTCATTGCCCTCATCTTTTCCTCTCAGTCTCCTTCATTTTGCCCCTCAGTTTCCTCTTTTCCCTTCACTCTCCCTCATTTTCCCCTCAGTTTCTCCCCATTTCCCCCTCAGTTTCTCTCCTTTTCCCCCTCACTCTCGCTCCTTTTCCCCCCTCATTTTCCCCTCAGTTTCTTTCTTTTCTCCCCATTTTCCCCTCATTTCCCCCTCTATTTCTCTCTTTTTTTCCCCTCATTTCCCCCTCAGTTTCTCTCCTTTTCCCCCCCTCACTCTCCCTCATTTTCCCCTCACTTTCTCTCTTTTTTTCCCATTTTCCCCTCAGTTTCTCTCCTTTTTTCCCTCACTCTCCCTCATTTTCCCCTCAGTTTCTCTCCTTTCCCCCCTCATTTTCCCCTCAGTTTCTCTCCTTTCCCCCCTCATTTTCCCCTCAGTTTCTTTCTTTTCTCCCCATTTCCCCTTCATTTCCCCCTCAATTTCTCTCTTTTTTCCCCTCATTTTCCCCTCACTTTCTCTCCTTTCCCCCTCACTCTCACTCCTTTTCCCCTCAGTTTCTCTCTTTTCCCCCTCATTTTCTCCTCAATTTCTCTCTTTTTCCCCTCATTTCCCCTCAGTTTCTCTCCTTTTTCACTCTTTTCCACTCTTGCTCATTTTCCCCTCAGTTTCTCTCTTTTTTCCCCTCATTATTCCCCTCATTCTCCCACATTTCCTCTCAGCTCCCATTTCCCCTTCACTTCCCTCACTTCTCCCCTTTGTCCCTCATTCCCCTGCAGTTCCCTTCCCCTTCCCGCCTTCCTTCCCCCTCTCCCCCCTCTTTCTCCCTCCCGGGGCGAGTTTCAATCTTTTTTTTTTTTTTTTTTCTTTTTAAGAATTTTAAGTGACAACTTACACCTCTCAATTTTACCAGCCCTAAAACAACTCCGCGAAATCTTTACAAACGCAATTGGTGACTGTTTCCGAGCGAACTCGCTCAGAATTTTTCCCCGCGCTGCTTTCCTGTTTGAAATAGTTTGTTGATCTCTGCGAGGCGGCAGAAAAACCCCCCGTGTTAAGCCAATAACTCTGTGTGCCGCTGCCTCATCGCCACAGGCAAGGATTAATCGGTTCCCAAATCGTTCTAAAGAGCCACTTTACCTCATCAACCTGATAGAGGGATATTAGCCAAGCAAAACGCTTCACCGCTTCAGTTAACAACAACAACAACAAAAAAAGAGCCTGATTTGGGTTCCTTTAAGTGCTCTGGTTTTAATTTTCCATGTTTCTGTCTGATGCAGTCCCAAGAGACATCTCCTTGGACAGTCCCTTTTCTTCTCCACTGAGAAAGGGCCTCATTCTCTGGGAGTTCTCATTGATATCTTTAATTGTGGACATTATTCCCATGCACGTGACTCTCGGGTCTAAATCTTTTTATTTTCTACCTCCCCGTCTTGGCTATTCACTCCCAGCCTCATCACAGTCCTTGGTGGTTATGTGCTCCCAGGGCTGAATATTTCCTGGGAATGTCTTCATCTTTCCCAAGTTTGCTCTTGTTCTGCTGAATTTCCACCTTGTGCAATGAATTTCCACCTTATGCAAGAGAAGATGTTCAGACATACCAGACCCTGAGCTTTTTTTTGAAAAATTCCCCATTTCTTCCTCTGAAATGTTGTTAGAATTTGCTTTTTGTTTTAATTTCCTTCAATGGCAATTTCCCCATGCTTTTATTTTTGCCCAGCCTGATGTTCATGCTTGTTTTTGTGTTCTCCCAGTGCAGGACACAGCTTCTGGTTTGGATATGGGTCACTCCTCCAGCTTTCAGGGGCAGGATCTGAGCAAGAACTTGGACACTTCCAAGAATGGGAAACACACAGCCAGGTGCCTCAGCTTCTCTGGCAGCCCAATAATTGGGTGTTAAACCACATTTTTATTGAACAATTTGGGGTGTCCCATTTGGGGTAAGCACCACCTGGTGCTCCAAGCACTCTCTGCTGGGACAAGCAGTTGGATCTGGGCTTTGTTGATCCCTGTGGATCCCTTCCAGCTCATCCCACTTCTGGTTTGGAATGGGTCACTGTTTCAGCTTTCAGGGGCAGGATCTGAGCAAGAACTTGGACACTTCCAAGACGGGGAAACCCAGAGCCAAGTGCCTCAGCTTCTCTGTCAGCCCAATATTTGGGCATTAAACCGCATTTTTCCTGAGCAATTTGGGATGTCCCGTTTAGGGTAAGCACTCTCTTTTGCTCCAAGCACTCTCTGCTGGGACAAGCAGTTGGAGCTGGGCTTTGCTGATCCCTTCCAGCTCATCCCACTTCTGGTTTGGACACAGGTCACTCCTCCAGCTTTCAGGATCTGAGCAAGAACTTGGACACTTCCAAGATGGGAAACCCACAGCCAGGTGTCTCAGCTTCTCTGGCCACTCAATAATTGGGCATTAAACCACATTTTTAGTTTACTATTTGGGGTGTCTCACTTGGGGTTAGCACCACCTGGTGCTCCAAGCACTCTCTGCTGGGACAAGCAGTTGGATCTGGGCTTTGCTGATCCTGTGGATCCCTTCCAGCTCAGGATATTTGATGAAGTGGCATGAATGGATTAATTTAAAATGTGCTGGGGTGGCTCTTTACATTCAACTGCGAAAACACTCAAGGAGAGAAATTCCTAGAACCAGCCTTTGCTCTGCTAGCAGTTCCCAGCCTGAACTGTTTCCAGCACAACCACTGATCAAACCCACCCCGATTTTCTTTTCAAGCTCCCCTCAAAAAGGAAAGAAAAAAATAAATCACAGCCAAGGGTAGAAAATTTGCCAGGCTCTTTGGGAGTTTTGGGGATGCCAGAGCCAGCAGCCATCCAGGCTTCTCCAAACTCCTCATTTTGCAGGGAGATCTCGAGCTAACGAGCTGTCAGCCGAGTGCCTTCGCACCCGAGGCAGCCGCGGGCTGAGCTCCTGCTTCTTTATACCTATTCCAGCAACTTCTGGGCTTTGCAATCAGCGTCTGCAAATCCAATTAGCGTTTTTCTTTGTGGCACTGGATGCTGGCAGAGATCCGCTGTGCTGCTGCCATCTACAGTAGGGCCAGTGCCAATGGATAAGAAACACTCCTCATTTGCATATTCAAATATGCAAATGAGACACGACAGCTCTCCTTCATTTTTGTTTGGGGGTGTTTTTTTTTTTCTATTTTATTTTTCTTTCCAGAGTCTTGCCTCAAAGATCCTTGTCTCAGACTGAAAGGTGTGTGTTTAATCTGGCTTGGCCCATGGTAGGGGGACCATGCCAAGGGCTGGTTCTGTCCCGTGAGAGTTGGGGATGATGGAAAATAAAGTGGAAAAAAGACTTTGCACTGCACTTATCCCTGCCTGGGCCAGGGATGGGAACGATTTCAGGGGTGTTTTCCCAGGTTCCAGCCCTGGGAAAGGACAGCACGTTCTTTCTCTCTCCTGCTTGTGCACACTCAGATATTTGAACGTGGCTGTTCCTGGAGTGTGAGCAAAGGAGGCAGCAAATGGGGCACTGAGATCAGGTGAGTCCTGGTGGGCAAAATCCTGACAGAGCAGCACAAGTGTCCCCACAGC